CGGTCAGAAAGGTATTTTGGGCCGGATCCGTTTAGGGCTTTGTAGGCCAACACCAGCACCTTAAATTGGGCCCGGTAGCAGATCGGCAGCCAGTGGAGCTGGAACAACAAGGGCGTTGTGTGCTCCCTGCGTCCCGCTCCTGTTAATAACATGGCTGCCGCGCGCTGGACTAGCTGAAGCTTCCGGGCCGTCTTCAAGGGCAGCCCCACGTAGAGAGCGTTGCAGTAATCCAGGCGGGATGTGACCAGAGCGTGTACCACCGTGGCCAAGTCAGACTTCCCGAGGTACGGGCGCAGCTGGCGCACGAGCCGAAGCTGTGCAAATGCTCCCCTGGTCACCGCTGAAACCTGGGGATCCAGGCTCAACGATGAATCCAGGATCACACCCAAGCTGCGAACCTGCGCCTTCAAGGGGAGTGCGACCCCATCCAGCACAGGTTGTAACCCTATGCCCCGTTCGGCCTTGCGACTAACCAGGAGTACCTCTGTCTTGTCTGGATTTAATTTCAGTTTGTTCGCCCTCATCCAGACCGTTACAGCGGCCAGGCACCGGTTCAGGACCTCGACAGCCTCCTTAGTAGCAGGTGGGAAGGAGTGACAGAGTTGGACATCATCTGCGTACAGATGACACCGCACCCCGAAACTCCGGATGATCTCGCCCAACGGCTTCATGTAGATGTTAAACAACATGGGGGACAATACTGAGCCCTGCGGGACCCCACAGGACAATGGCTGTGGAGCCGAGCAGGAGTCCCCCAGCAACACCTTCTGGGTACGACCCTCCAGGAAGGACTGGAGCCACTGCAGAACAGTCCCTCCAAGACCCAACCCTGCAAGGCGCCCAGAAGGATACCGTGGTCTACGGTATCGAAGGCCGCTTAGAGGTCCAGGAGAACCAACAGGGACACTCCCCTGTCGAGCTCTCTGCGGAGATCATCCACTAAGACAACCATGGCTGTCTCAGTTCCATGTCCCGGTCTGAAACCAGACTGTGCAGAATCCAGATAATCCGTGTCTCTCAAGAATACCTGGAGTTGTGAGGCCACCACGCTTTCCATGACTTTGCCCAAAAAGGGGAGGTTGGAAACAGGCCGAAAGTTGTCAAATTTAGTGGGGTCTAATGATGGTTTCTTCAACAGCGGTTTTATAATAGCCTGTTTTAGGCTCGCTGGAATCTTGCCTTCCCGGAGGGAGGCATTAACCACCACCGTTACCCACTCCGCCAATCCCCCTCTGGCCTCCTTCAGCAGCCAGGATGGGCAGGGGTCTAGGATGGACGTGGTGGGCCTCATTCCTCCAAGTATCTTGTCCACATCCTCGGGCTTCACTGTCTGTCTCCTGAGGAATCTTTATAAGGACTAAGTAGCAACAGTAAGAACAGACCAGGGAACAACAGACCGGGTCAAGATTGGAATGGAATACAGCAGGGTTGTCTATTCTCATACGACCTGTTCAACTTGTATGCAGAACACATCATGCAATGTGCGGGGCTTGACAATTCCTAGGCTGGAGTTAAAATTGCTGGAAGAAACATTAACAACCTTAGATATGCAGATGATACCACTTTGGTGGCTGAAAGCAAGGAGGAGCTGAGGAACCTGATAACCAAGGTGAAAGGAGAAAGTGCAACAACTGGGGTCCAGTTAAACATAAAAAACCCAAGATTACGGCAACCAGACAAATTGATAACTGGCAAATGGAGATGGGGATGGCCACGGCCGCCAGGGAGCTCTGGCCGGGCTTGGTCTAGGCGGTCACAAAGAATCGAAAGCGACTGAATGAATAAACATTTTTCCTTTTGGGTTTTGTCTTATTCTGACTCTTAAGCTGATCTAAAAACTTAAATGGAGTTAAGAGTTGTAGTTTGGTGAAATGCCAGCCCTCTTTGCTAGAGGAGGTGAAAGATCTTGTAAAACTATGACTCAGAGGATTCATTTTAGGTCCAAAAAGGGGCATTTGGTGGACAGAAATGAACCAAGGGTCTAACATGACAGTAGTGAGAATGTTTCTCTTATCTCCAAAGGACACTGAAGGGCAACTTAGAATGTAAGAAGTTTGGTTTTGTTTCTATAAGCCCAAGTATAACAATGGTGTACTCACTGTGCGCACTTTTATACCAGGAGGATTTTGGTCACTAACCACCCTTAACACCGTCAGAGAGGTCTTCCTGAAACCTTGTTTGTATGGTCAGCTTTCCATGTTTGCTGGGGTTAGGGCTGCAAATGAAGAAAATGTTTTTTTTTAAAAAAAACCTCTCTAGGGATTTCTAGGTCTATTCAGCATGACTATAGGGTCAACTTCTACTTGAAACTGGCCATAGCATTACATTGAAGGACTGAGAGATTCCAAGAGACGTTCGCAATGTCAGTGCACAAAAGTCAAAACTGCAAATGTGGATAGTTTGCAGTACAAATGTGCTTTCAAGTTCCCTGTCACCTTACGGCAATCCACAAATGTCATTTAATGTTATGCGATGCTCCCGATGTCACAAGGCCCTCTGTCTCGTGCCCATTTAGGATGGGAACCAGATCACTTGACACCCGAATAATCCCTCCCTTTGTTCCACTGTAGTTTTGCTAAGAAGAGCTCAGTTGAGAGAGCCCTTCAGCTGGAGTCTAGCCCCCCCCCCCCCCCCCGCCTTCAGATGCAGAAGTTACTTTTAAAAGCTTTCCATGCCACAGAAACCCTCCTGTTTTCTCCCCACACTCCATTCTTGTGGGCTGGGAGCAAATGTCATGGCTTTATAACATCTTTTTTCACTATTATTCAAAGATTAACCTCAGCAATGAGTAAGGAGTGGTGTTAAGAGCAGCCCACAAAATGTGTGGGCAGGCCGCTCCTTCATCAAACAGTCATCAATTCGTGGCCTCAAAAAGAGGGGAAGTACTCCCTTTAATGCAATGGTTCTCAACCATCCTAATGCTGCAACCCTTTAATACAGTTCCTCAAGTTGTGGTGATCCCCAACCATAAAATTATTTGAGTTGCTACTTAATCACTTTAATTTTGCTTCTTTTATGAATTGTAATGTAAATATCTGATACGCAGGATGTATTTTCAGACTGGTCTGAAGACTGATAGAGGAGCAGTGTACAGAATAGTACAAGAGAGGGAGGGAGGGAGAAGGAAGGGACAGGGCCCACATCATGGAGACCTTGAGGTGCAGCAGGAGGAAGGGAGAATGTGTGAGAGGACTCCATTCAGGATGCAGGCAAACTGAGGGAAGGAGGAAAGGAAAGAAAGGAGGGAGGAGGCCCTGCTGCTGCATCCCTTTGCAGGATATCTTTGGGGGAGGCCTCCTCACTTTCACTTCTCCATGGGATTCAGCCATGGAGGGGCTACTCCACCCCCTCTAAGCTCTGCCCTCCTCCCCAGCCTCCCTCTCCATACCCCCCTTACCTTCTCCCTTCTCACCTCTACCTCCTCCTTCCTCTTCTTTGAAGTCTTCTTGACTTCAAAGCAAACCTCACTTCTGTCGCTCCTGTCTCTTCCTCCTAAAATGGTGGAAGCTGAGTAACATCACCACCTCCCTTCAGGAAAGAAGAGACCTTTGGGAAGTGAAAGCAGTGGGGAAAAGTTAGCGATGTCTCAGTTCCAAAGACCATCGGAAATATGTGTTTTCCGATGGTCTTAGGTGACCCCTGTGAAAAGGTTGTTCAACCCCCAAAGGGGTCATGACCCACAGGTTGAGAACCATTGCCTGTCACGTTGCCAGGGCTCTGCCTGTACGCAGGCAGAGGTGAAACAAAACAAACACCCAGCTTCTGTAAAACTGTTTAATTAAAGCACCACTTACTGTCTGACTGTTTTCATAGTCAAAAATATAAAACATAAAGATAGCACTCAGCCACAGAATATAAAACAAAGACTGACAGCAAATGCTGATGCAGGTTCGAGAGAACACCATAGTCAAAAAGGTCCATCCCAGTAGTCAAACGCCAAGAGTTCAATTAGTAAAGTCCAAGGGTCAAGAGTATATTCCGTAGTCAATAGCCAGTCCAGAGATTCAAGATTCCAGGATTCGAAAAGCGCAGGAGACAGGTCAAGATATCAAAAATCCACAAACCTGGGGGGGGGGGGGGAATAGGACAAAGATCAGTCCCAAGGCTAGCTCCTTATATCCAATAACACCAAGCTGTAAGCTATCTGTTGCATGCCTCCACCCTTAATTGCTTTCACCGTAAACTCTTACTTACAGATTACTCAGCTCTTTAGAACTAAGACATTAACCCTGCCACCACCAACTGCGGAACATAATACATGGCACTGCCTTAATGTCAGCTGTATTAATTGGAATGTGTAGATTTGACCATATCAATTTACTGATCAGTGTTTTGATTCCAGCTTTTGGACATAGAGCGTGTTGTGATTTGCCACATCGAGGAGGGAGCAAGCTAGTCCAGAGAGGAATAGGAAAGAGATTAGGAAAACGTTAGGAAAAGCTTCCTGGTGGTTAGAGCTAGAAATATGGATGTCTAATGCAGTCTTCTTCTCTGGATGTTTTTAAACAGAAGGTGGATGACCGTCTGTCAGGAAGGCTTAGGTTGTATCTCTCTGCATTGCAGAAGTGGGTTGGACTGGATGTGCTTTGGGGTCTCCTCCAACTCTAGGATTCAGTGCTCTTTTCAAATAGGAATTTATAGAGACCTATTTGCCAGTGACATTTGCTTCCTCAATGTGGGGAGAAAATATTGCACTGGATGGGTTTGATCCTTCTCTTTCAAGCCGGTTCTTGTGTGCGTTTTTGTCTCTCCAATGCAGAGGCTTAAATTGGTGCATCTGTAGATATGGTTTTTGACCAAAAAGGTTTTTGGGAACCATTTTTTTAATGCAGAGATTGACATTGCGTGCCTCCACATCATTGCCAGCTTAAGGTGAACCTATTCCATGGTTTTCTCTGTAACATTTGTTGAGACATAAAAACAAAATAATTTGACATCCTTTAAGAAGATTGATATCTTTTCCTAGTTGTCCTAAAACCACCTTTTCTTCTTTCTCTCAGGACAAACACCATGATGCTGCTCACGAAATCATTGAGACAATTCGGTAGGTATTCAAATATATTTTCTCTTCCCTGCCTCCTTGTACAAAAGCCATATCTCAAGGAATGGATTAGTTGAGACCGAAGGAGAAGAGAGGTGGGGGAAAAGGCTTTACTCCGAAGATTTTATTCTTTCCGTCTTGCAGTATATGAATCTAGTTTTGGGGTTTCTCAAAAGAACAGACAAGCCCCCATTTTCCTTTTCCTTTCTCTTTTTCTGAACTCATAGAGACTGTTATCTGTGGGCAGCAAGGGAATGTCACTGTCCTTATTCTTTTCTCATAAATAATCTCAATCAAAAACCACCATTGACCATGAGGCTAAGTAGGAGGACAAAAGATCACATTGATGGCTTGGGGCTTGAGGAGAAGCAATGTCTCGCGTGACTTCAACATGAAGAGAAGGAGAGAAAAGGAAGCCAGAAATGTCAATACTGGGCAGGCAAATTTGGCATAATGTCAGTTGTCCCCTCCTTTTAGTTTCCTCTCTCACCCCCAGCTTCCTTCAGTTGCTGTATTTAGACACAGTTCAAAATTTATTTATTGTGTCAGAAGCGAATTGAGGGTACAGTTATAATGTATTTTAAAAGACACAAACAAAGTAAATCTTGGCATTATACTATATTTCCTTTGACCAAAAACTGGCCACTTGGAGTGCCTCTGGTGTCATTGTGAGAAGGCCCTCCATTGTGCATGTGGCAGGGCTCAGACTGCATTATAGTAAGTGGTGTGTGGTTTGCTCTACTCCACATTCGCATGTTGTAGACCAGAGGTCCTCAAACTAAGGCCCGGGGGCCAGATATGGCCCTCCAAGGTTATTTACCCGGCCCTCGCTCAGAGTCAACCTAAGTATGAAACGACTTGATAGCACACAACAATCCTATCTCATCAGCCAAAAGCAGGCCCACACTTCCCATTGAAATACTAATAAGTTTATATTTGTTAAAATTGATCTTCATTTTAATTATTGTATTCTTTTAAGTGTTTTGTTTTTTGTTTTGTTTTGGGGTTTTTTTGCACTACAATTAAGATATATGCAGTGTCCATAGGAATTCATTCATGCTTTTGTTTTGTTTTGTTCAAATTATAATCCAGCCCTCCAACAGTTTGAGGGACTGTGACCTGGCCCTCTGTTTAAAAAGTTTGAGGACCCCTGTTGTAGACTCTACTTTGTAGCCCCATTTGTTTAGGTTGGCTCTGCATCTCGTGGTGCCAGAGCGCAGTCTGTTCAGTGTCTTCCAAATTGCCCAGTCTTCTGTGTGCCCAGGAGGGAGTCTCTCATCCAGTATCAGCCACTGATTGAAGTTTCGGGCTTTAACCTGCCACTTTTGGACTCTCACTTGCTAAGGTGTACCTGTAAGTATCTCTGTAGATCTTAGGAAGCTGTTTCTTGATTTAAGTCGTTGGTATGCTGACTGATATCCAAACAGAGAATGGGCCGGACATGTCACTGCCTTGGTCCTTTCATTATTGATTGCTACTTCCCGGAGGATATCAGGTGGTGCAATACCGGCTAAACAGTATAATTTCTCCTGTGACGTTGGGTGTAGACATCCTATGATAATGCAGCATGCCCCATTAAGAACCACATCCACTGTTTTAACATGGTGAGATGTATTCCACAATGGACATGTGTATTCAGCAGCAGAGGAGCAAAGTGCAAGAGCAGATGTTTTCACTGTGTCTGGTTGTGATCCCCAGGTTGTGCCAGTCAGCTTTTGTATGATATTATTTCTAGCACCCACTTTCAAGCAGTGCAAGCAGTGCTTCTTGTAAGTCAGGGCACAGTCCATAGTAACTCCCAGGTATTTTGGTGTACTGCAATGGACCAGTGGGATTCCTTCCCAGGTTATCCTCAGAGCTCGAGATTTGTCTGTTCTTAAGGTGAAAAGCACATGTCCACATTTTAGATGTATTAGGAATCAGTTGGTTTTCCCTGTAATAGGAAGTAAGAGCACCTAAAGCTTCAGAGAGCTTTTGTTCAACCCTTTCAGAGCTCCCTGCTTGGGTCGTGATGGCACAATCGTCAGCATAGATGAAACTCTCTGTTCCTTCTGGCAGTGGCTGATCATTTGTGTTGATGTAAAACATTGATGGAGCAAACATGCTCCCCTGAGGCAGGGCATTCTTCTGTTTTTGCCGTCTGCTTCTCTGGCCCTGGAACTAAAAAAAAATGCTTCTGATCAGTTCTGATCAAAATACAGATTGAATTTGATTGATCCAGCAGAACAGGGGCCTTCCCAGTCAGCCACTGTAACTGCTCTTAGTAAATGTGCACTTCTCCATTCACACCTTTGGCCTTCTTAAATCTACTATTGGCCACAGCTGCCTTTGTTGTCACTGGGGGGAAAACAATGTCAGCTGACCCCCATCATAAGAGGCATGGAGTACATTGTTCTGTGCCCCATTGTCTGGAAGGACATACTTTGCCAATTGCAGGTGTCACTAGATGACCTCCACCTCAAGATGAAAATACAAATACAGTGGAACCTCGACCTAAGAGTTTAATTTGTTCTGGGACCAAGCTCTTAGCTCAAATCGCTCTCATCCTAAAACAAATTTCAGATTGAAATGCTATTAATTCCAGCCTGCCGAAAACCCCCAATTTTTTTTATACGTGTTTTTAAATAAGTTAATATATTTTATAATTCGCAAGGAACAATAAAAAAGAAAGATTGACTTAAAAATGGTAGAAGCACAAAGTTGTGGCAAGGCAGCCCGAAGCGAAGAGGCAGAAGCATCACTTTCTTCATCCTGTCCTCATTCCTACCTCTTGTTATGATCACTCATGCCATCCAACTATCAGCCCTGACATAGAACACATGGACTTTGGCCAAAAGGGAGGACACGATGCTTAAAGGACATATGTTTATGATGTTGTTGCTTAGGCCCTATATACATGGGTAGTAGTGCTAGGTTTTTGTATTCCAGACAATGCAGTCACATGGTATCTTTAGCTTTGGTGCGTCTTGGTGTATTCTTTCCAGTAAAGACTAAGCCCATAACAACACAGCTACAGCAAGGAACCCCTACACCTCCCTCCCTCCCTTGTACTCTTTCCCTTCATTAAGGCAAACAGAGCATTAATAAAGATCACACAAAATCAGCTAACCTAAAGTTCCTCAAAGTGGACAAGAACAAAGTGGGCAGCAATCTCCCAAAGCGGACAAGGGCACAAGGCCCAGAGGCTGCTCCCTTAGAAGCCCTGTACTCTGACATTAGCACTCTGGTGCTTGGTCTTAACTGAAAATGCTGCTCTTACGTCAAAGTGAAACCCAGGCCGATTGACAGCTCTTAACTTAAAACACTAAAGTTGGAGTACTCTTAACTTGAGGTTCTGCTATAGGTGTTTCCTCATCTCTGGTTTGAACAGGACCACCTCTCCGAGAAATGCCTGAGGCGTCAGTCAGGGAAGTGTTCTTAAACAGATATATGAACATGAAAGAGAAAGTGAAAGGAGAGCAAAGGGTCATAACTTGCCAATCTTTTGATCTATTTGTTCTCCCTTTTGCAGGTGGGTCTGCGAGGAGATCCCGGACCTCAAACTCGCCATGGAAAACTATGTCCTAATTGACTACGATACTAAAAGGTGAAAGGAAATGTTTGCTCGGCAGCGATGTGCCGCAGTCATCCGCTCAGGGAAAACCAGGCTCTTCAGAGGCAGGCATGACCTAGTTTCCTCCCGTTTGGCCTTGGCAGGGCTGGGTTTGAAATCTCATTATGCAACCCACCTCCCTCCCTTGTCCCGAGATGCTTCTTTAATCTCCTCCTGGGATGCACTGAGGACCGGTTTTGAAAAAAGGAAAGGCAGTTGGAGTTCACGAGGTCTCCTTTGGGGACTCAGATAAATCCCTCTATTTGCCTTATATACTTGAGTATATGCGGAGATTTTCAGTCCTTTTTTTAGGCTCAAAAACCCCCCTCGGCTTATACTCAAGTCAAGATCATATATTATTTTACACATTATTGTTATTTTATTACATCTATTATTTTAATATTTATTGTTGTTATGATTACATTTATTATTTTACTCTATTATTATTACATTTATTTTATTCTATTTTTATTATTACATTGTTTTGCTCCATTATCATTGTTGTTATTACATTTATTATTTTACTCTGTTTATTTTATACTGACACAAAATCACAGTATGACACAGCAAACAAGATATATATGCTGGCTTCTGTATCACAAAATCACAAGTCAAACAATTCCCAAGTGTTTATGACTGTGTGATGTATTTTCGAATGATGTGTGTAGATCCAAGTAAGATGGGCTTTTGCAGTTGCAATTTTGCAGTCTATTTATTTTAATTATAATAATTATTACAGTTATTATTTTACTCTTTTTATTGTTATTATTACATTTCCATTATTTTACTCCAATATTTTTTATTTTTATTGCACTTATTATTTTACTGTATTATTATTGGGAGGATACGTAAGCACATTTACATTGAAGAAGATTAGAATAATGGTTTAATCAGAGTTGAACAGTCTTATCTTAAATTCCAGTTTTATGTAAAAACATTTAACCTACCGATGCCTCAATTAATGTATATGTATTGGTATCTATTTTTCTTTTGAAATTTACCAGTAGCCCCTGCATTTCCCACCCTCAACTTATACACGAATCAATACGTTTTCCTAGGTTTTTTTGTGGTAAAATTAGGTGCCTCGGCTTACATTCGGATCAGCTTATACTTGAGTATATACGGTACTCGAGTCTAATGCTCACCTTTTCTTGGATAATTGATCTCGCCAAAATTCGGGTGCGCATCACACGGTCATCTTAGTGCTGAGCCAAAACAAAAAGGGGATGCTGCCCTTGGAGCTCCTCTTTGAGGGTCCTCATCTCTAATTTAATGGCCATGGCTCAATGCTTTGTGATTCTATTGTTACTGGCTTGGATACCTGACATTGCCCAGGTTATTTGCAAAATGGATAAGGTTGTGGGTGAACTACAACTCACATCATGTCAGGTTAACCCTGAGAAACTCCAGCAGTGGTTAAAGTTTGTCTTATTAGGCAGGTTTGCTCTCTAGATGCATCATTGGTGGAGTCTGTGTAGTCTCTGGCTGCAGGATGAACTAAAGCTCCCACCATGGTAGGTCAGTCCCCTCAAACCACTCCAGTAGGTTCAGTTGGTCATGGGGGTTCTGTGCGCCAAGTTTGGTCCAGGACCATTGTCGGTAAGGTTCACAGTTTCTCTAGTTGTTGGTGAACTACAACTCCCAAAAATCAAGGCCAATATCTCCCAAACCCCTCCAGTATTCAAATTTGGGCGTATTGGATATGTGTTCCAAGTTTGGTCCAGATCCATCGTTGTTTGGGCTCACAGAGCTCCCTGGTTATAAGTGAACTACAACTCCGCCAAATCAAGGTGAATTCCCCCAAAAGCTCTGCAGTATTTTTTATTGGTCAAGTGGGTTCTGTGTGTCAAGTTTGGTCCAATTCCCTTTTTGGTGGGGTTCAGAGTGCTCTTTGATTGCAGGTGAACTATAAATTCCAGTACCTACAACTCCCAAATATCAAGGCCAATTCCCCCCAAAACCTACTAGTATTCAAATTTGGGCATATCGGGTATGCGTGCTAAATTTGGTCCAGATCCATTGTTGTTTGGATTCACAGTGCTTTCTGGATGTGGGTGAACTGCAGCTCTCCCAAATCAAGGTGAATTCCCCCCAAAGCCCTCCAGTATCTTTTGATAGTCATAGAGTTTGTGATCTGGATTTTGTGATTTTAATTGGTGTTTTTATGTTTATGTTTTTAATTGGGTTAATTTTAATTTACCAATGTGTATATGTGTATATGGTATTGATTTTTGCCTTTATGAGGCCGCCATGAGTCCCCCTCGGGCTGAGAAGGGTGGGGTACAAGTATAGTAAATAAATAAATAAATTGGTCATTGGGGTTCTGTATGCCAAATGTGGTCCAGGTCCATTGTCAGTGGGGGTCACAGTGCTCTGTGAACTACAACTTCCGTCATGTTGAGTCAGTCACCCAACCCAGTTGCTGATCAGTTCTGCTGTGTTTACTGTGCACCATAGGAAAAAGTAGGAAAGGATTAAAGGAGATGCATTGGGCAGCGTCTTACAAATTCCACACCAATGGAGAGAGTCAGAAACACTGAGATGTCTGTGGTGGAGGAAGCACAGGAAGTCTTGGATGAAATTGTTTCTGTGTGAAAGTCTTCACTTGGGTCGTGGGCAGTTTTGTGTTTGTGGGGGACTTTGTCAGCATTCTTGGACATGTTCATGGCGCTCACAATGACCTCCACTATCATTGAAGGGAAGGCCTTTGGTGGCTCTTCATAGCTGGGAATCATAGCTGTTTGTGGAAGTGGGAGCCTGTCTGTGAAAGAGGGCACCCCAGCCACACACATGTACATATTTTCACTTTTATTATGGATATAGATTATTATTATGTTTATTTGTATCCTCCACAAGGAGACTCCAAGCGGCTTACATTAAAAGCATTACAGTAGAATTGAAAATCTACAACTATATAAACATGGAAACAGAATTAAATATCATGGGTAGTAACAATTCTGTTAATATCAATACACACATATGTATGTATGTATGTGAGGTATTAGCATTCTTTGGCACAGAAAGCTCAAAAACGTTTTGGGCTTTTGAGCATTGAGAGATTTTTTTCCCAAGGAAGTACAAACTGGGCAGTAGCATGGAAACTGGCATGTATTAACTTCTATGGGGGGTGCATTGGGACCTAATATCCCATAAGAGTACATCTTTGCCCCATTTGACTCACTTGCTTTTTCTCCTTCTGCATCTCCAGCTTCGAAAGCATGCAAAGGCTTTGTGACAAATACAACCGTGCCATCGACAGCATTCACCAGTTGGTAGGTATCCTTGCCATCTTTTCTCTGTTGTATTTCACGTATTTGGAAACACTAGAAAATGGCCAATATTCTAAGATGCCGTCGATTGTTGAAACACATGTTAATTCCAGTATCGGGAAAAAAAATAAAAAGAGAGGAAAACCCTAACTAAACTTTTGCAATTTCAGGGGGAAATGAACTCTTATTGGATTGCAAGCTTTAATTGCCAGTACAGTTTGCTAGATTTATGAGACTGGGAGTCTGTCAAATGAATTCCATTTGCCAGGCCTTAACTGCCATAGTTCAGTGCTCTAGAGTCCTGGGAGCTGTAGTTTGACAAGGCCTTGGTGCGCTCACTGCAGCTCCCCAAATGCCGGAAGATTGGACCACGCAGGTTATTCCTATTAATAATGTAAGTGGGGCTGTTCTAATAATGTAAATGGAGCTGCATTGCATCTCAACCACAGAGAAAAAAGTGAAATAATAATAATAACATATTTTTTGTAAGTGGAGCCGCCTTGCATCTCAAACAGAGGAAAAATGAGTTATTAGTAATAATATTAATATTAATATATTAATTTATTATTGCAAGTAGAGCCTCCTTGGATCTCAATCATAGAGAAAAAGTGACATAATAATAATAGTAATATTATATTCATGTATTATTGTTAAATAAATGGTAGAAGCCCAAAGGAGTGGATCGACGACAAATCGGATAGGATAGGATATTATTATAAGTGGAGCCACCTTGCATCTCAATCACAGAGAAAAAAGTGGGATATTAATAATTATAATAATAATAAATGATCTTATACAATTCTGTATTTTATAATATATTAGCTTGGGTACCCAGCATTGCTCGGGTTATTTAAAAAAGCCAATTTTTATTTCTACAAAATGCATATGGTTGTGGGTAAACTACAACTCACATAATGATGCATGATGCATGTGGGGTTTCAGTGTGCTCTCTAGCTGTAGAGTAAACTACAACACCCACTTCGGTGAGTCAGTTCCCTCAAACCCCTCCAGTAGGTTGAACTAGTTATGCAGGTTCTGTGTGCCAAGTGTGGTCCAGGTCCATCATCAGTGGAGGTCACGGTTTCTCTGGTTGTGGGTGAACTACAACTCCCAGAAAAGAAGTTTAGACACCCCCCCCCCCAACCCCTTCAGTAATCAAATTTCAGCATATCAGGTATGTGTGCCAAGTTTGGTCCAGATCCATCTGTGTTTGGGTTCACAGTGCTCTCTGGATGTAGAAGAACTACAACTCCCACAAATCAAGGTGAATTTTCACTTTTATGTGTATAGATTGGACTGGCAATGTCTTTTCCAGGCAAAATCTAGGGCGAGTATCATGCTTAAGAAACCCACATAGGATCCATTGGAGAAGAGATATGATCAGAAAAAACTATAAGCAAATAAGGTGCTTTTTTCTCATTTGGTTTGCTTCTCTTCTAGTGGAAAGGCACCACCCAACCCATGAAGCTCAACACTCGTCCATCCAATGGCCTGCTCCGCCACATTCTCCAGCAAGTCTATAACCACTCGGTGACCGACCCGGAAAAACTCAACAACTACGAGCCCTTTTCCCCGGAAGTCTACGGCGAGACTTCCTTCAACTTGGTGGCCCAGATGATCGATGAGATTAAGATGACCGAAGACGACCTCTTCGTCGACTTGGGCAGTGGTGAGCGAGGCCCAAACTGTTGCATGTTGCTTGCATTCTGGCCCCTTCAAAACCATTTTCAAGAACCCATACATACAGAATAATATTAGAATAATACCTTATTTCCCTTCCAAATAAAACTTCTTGCTGTTTTGGACCTGATTTCTTTCCACACATCCTGCTGAAAGAAATTGGGGGGGGGGGGGGGGCACTATTATGCGAGGAAAACAAAAAAATCCATTTGGGTTATCAAAAAAAATAGGGGTGCAGCTATTATATGGTGGCAGTGATGTAAGTGAAACTGTTCTAATAATATAAATGGAGCCGTCTTGCATCTCACCACAGAGAAAAAAGTGGGATATAAATAATAAGAAGAAGACTTTAATAATATTGTACTATGTTTTTATATAACACTAGCTGTCCCCTGCCACGCGTTGCTGTGGCCCAGTCTGGTGATCTGAAAAATAAAGTAAAGAGAAAGTGTTGGTTTCTGATATATATATAATTTATTTTGCTTGTGGGTAAACAGTATTTCTTGTTGTTTCTTTGTCAGTGTTGAAGTAGAGATTGTCTAGTTTGCCCACTCTGGAACATGCAACATATCATTGTCCTTCTTTAGGAGTCCCTTTCAAATCTATGATACTATATCTGTCATGTGTGTGTGTGTGTGTGTGTGTGAATCATATATATCTATCTATATCTCTGGCTGGCTGGCTCTCTGTCAGGAGGGTTTTGATTATGTTTTCTTGCTCTGCTGAAGGGAGTTGGACTGGATGGCCTTAAGTATTTTCTGTTGGTCATGGGGGTTCTGTGTGGGAAGTTTGCCCCATTCTGTCGTTCGTGTGGTTCAGAATGCTCTTTGATTGTAGGTGAACTGTGAATCCCAGTGACTACAACTCCCAAATGTCAAGGTCTATTTCCCCCAAACTCCATCTGTGTTCATATTTGGGCGTATTGAGTGCTTGTGCCGAGTTTGGTCCAGATCAATAATTGTTTGAGTCCACAGTGCTCTCTGGATGTAGGTGAACTACAACTCCCAAACTCAAGGTCAATGCCCACCAAACCCTTCCAGTATTTTCTGTTGGTCATGGGAGTTCTGTGTGCCAAGTTTGGTTCAATTCCATCGTTGGTGGAGTTCAGAATGCTTTTGATTGTAGGTGAACTTTAAATCCCAGCAGCTGCAACTCCCAAATGACAAAATCATAATTTTTTGTGTGATGGTCATTCCTTGTGTTGTGAGACATTTTGTTGCCAAATTTGGTGTGATTTCGTTCATTGGTTCTTTTGTTTTTAAGGTACTCATTATGCACAGAGCATTTATATATATATAGATAGTTGATGATATTTTATTATATGCTAGCTTGGGGACACAGCGTTGCCCAGGTGATTTAAGAAAGTGATTTTTTTAATTGTTCAAAATGCATAAGGTTGTGGGTGAACTACAACTCACATCATGCCAGGTGAACCCCCTGAAACTCCATCAATACTTTAAGTTTGTTATGTTGGGCAAGTTTGCTCTAGATGCATCATCAATGAGGTTCATTGTGCTCTCTGGCTATAGAGTAAACTACAACTCCCAGTATGGTGAGTCAGTGCCCTGAAACCCTTCCATTAGGTTCAGTTAGTCATGGGGGTTCTGTGTTCCAAGTGTGACCCAGTTCCATCATTGGTGGAGGTTTTCCTCGTTATGGTAGGACTACAACTCCCAGAAAGGAAAGTCACTTCCCCCCAAACCTCTCCTGTAATCAGATTTTTGCCATTTAAGGTATGTGTGCCAAGTTTGGTCCAGATCCATCGGTGTTTGGGTTCACAGTGCTCTCTGGGTGTAGATGAACTCCTCCAAATCAAGGGGATTTTTTTTTTTTTGCTGATCATAGGGGCTCTTTGTGGCAAGTTTGGTCCAATTCCATCTTTTTTTAGAGTTCAAACTACTCATTGATTGCAGATGAAGTATAAACCTCAATACCTACAACTCCAAAATGTCCAGGCCAATTCCCCACAAAACCTACCAGTATTTGGGCATATTGGATATGGATGCCAAGTTTGGTCCAAATCCTTTGTTGTTTGGGTTCATAGTGCGCTCTGGATGTAGGTGAACTACAACTCCTGTAAATCCTTCCCAATTAGTTCCAGATCCATCGTTGGTGTTCAGAGTGCTCTTAGATTACAGGTGAACTGTTGATCCCAGTACCTACAATTCATATAAATCATGGTGAATTCTCCCCAAACCTCTCTAGTATGTTCAGTTGCTGATCAATTCCTCTGTTTGCTATATGCTATAGAAAGGAATAGGAAAGGGTTAAGGGAGAGGCAGTGGGCGGGGTCATTCAGATTCCACACCAACAGAGAGAGTCAGAAACACTGGGATGTCTGTGGTGGAGGAAGCATATACAATTTAGGATAAAATTTTCCCCATCTGAAAGCCTTCACTTGGGTGGTGGGCAGTATTATGTTTGTGGAGGACATTGGCAGGGCTCTTGGACATGTTCATATAATCTGGAATGTCATTGGAGGGAGAGCCTTTGATGTCTCCTGAGTAGTGAGAGCTATAGCTGTTTGTGGAGGCTGGAGCTTGTTTGTGGAAGTGGCCAGATACATATGTGTATAGATAGATTGCGATATAATTATAATTATTTATATTATTTTTATTTCTTTTCTTTTTTTTACTACATTGTTGGCCAACACTCATTTTGGGTCCTCAAATGTTAGCCCTATTTCTTTGTATATTTGACCTACTGATTCCAAAAAATGTCAACTGTATTATGTGGTGGCAATGAAATACAATACAATTGTTTTTCCTCTCTCTATCTCCCCATCACCCACTCTCTACCCTTTGTCTCAGGTGTGGGTCAAGTTGTTCTCCAGGTCGCTGCGGCCACCAACTGCAAGCATCACTATGGAGTGGAGAAAGCGGACATTCCAGCCAAATACGCTGAGGTATCTCAACCATCTTGGGGTTTGAATGAACTAATTCATTGGGAAGCTATACATGGCACAAAAAGTTCTGTGGATGCCTAGCTTAAAAATACCTATTCTCTTCTTTGATCCTCCCCCCATGCTCTGCTCTTAGCTGTGTTTTTTGCCCCACGAAAGCAAAATGAGGTTCCCTCCCTAATAGCTTTCAGTATGATGCGATTTACGCCCAAGATGCTACGATGTCAGGTATAGGAATAATTCCTATCCCATTCTCAATAGATGTTATTTAAGGATTTTCTTCCCACTGCCAAGAGCAATGCAGTTTGCAAAGCCTATTATTATTATTAGAAAAATAATTAGAAATAATATTGTATTAATTATATATTTCTAATAATAATAATTAGAAATAATAATATTATTATTTTCTCTTAATATTAGAAGCCGTATTAATGTAATAATATTTTGAATAATATTAAGAAATAATACTATATTGTTATTGTTATTAGAAGTGATATATTATTAGAAATGTATTATTAACAATAATAATTAGAAATAATTTATTATTATTTCTCATTATTATTATTAGAAGCAATGGTATTTATATAATATTTCTATAATATTCATAATAATTACGAATAATATATAATAATATATAATTTCTTATTATTAGAAACAATATATTAATAATATAATAATATTTTGAATAATAATGAATATGATATTATTTCTTTTTATTGCTATTAAAACAATAATTTATTATCAGAAATATCATATTATTAATAATAATTATAATTTATCTCATTGTTATTAGAAACAAGAGTATTTATAATAATAATTCTAATGATAAGAAGAAGAAGAAAAAGAAGAAATAATAATATATTATTTCTAATTATTTCTCATATTATTCCTAAGAAGAAGAAGGAGAAATAATAGTTTCAAATCGTAAGAAGAAATAAACATTGGTAGTATTAAATCAACAGTTAAAATCCATGAATTCAGCAAAATGTGCATATATATTTTTTCTCTTTCTTAAAGCAGCCTTTCCTAGGCAGTAAATCATGTTTTCTGGCACAAAATCCCCACAAAAACTAAACACAGAACGGTGCCCGATTCCCCTTCTCAAGGTTTCCGGGCATTGTTTTCTAACCCTTTCCCAAATAATTTCAAATATCCCCTTCCATATCTCAATAGTTGGTCCATCTAGTTTTCTCTGCCGATTTCTCTGCCGATTTTCAGCAGCCCTCCAATCAATGTGAATATAATTTCTTGGCCAGATTTGACCAGAGAGAAGTTTCTCATTGCCTGTTTTTCCTTGGCAAGGGGGAGATTTGAACCCAGACCTCATGGAACCTTGAAAATGATCTCTGTTATCTAATTTCAATATTATAGATCTATGCGGAAAGGTAACGGTTCAGTTTGCTAATGGAAGAATGTTTTTTCTCTTAACCTTTTTTTTGCAGACAATGGACAAAGAATTCAGGAGGTGGATGAAATGGTATGGGAAGAAACACGCAGATTACACAGTGAGTGGAACTCAACCACCATGGTTTCCTTCCAAGCTTATTTTATTTATTGTGTCAGAAGCAAATTGAGGGTACAATTATAATGTATTTAAAAACACAAACAAAGTTAAAAACTTGGCATTATACTAAATGTCCTTTTGACCACAAGCTGGCCACTTGGAGTGCCTCTGGTGTTTCGCAGATCAAAAGCTTCTTGGACGCTGCAGTAGAGCAAATAGGCTTCAGCAATACAGGAGTAGATTCAGGCTTTACAAATTACAAAAGACTTCATTAACACTATTCAGTTAGCAGGAAACTGAGCGTCAAAGAATGTAGAAATGCCAAATACCTTGGGCCACTCTCCTGTCCAGGCCAATTCCCCTCAAAACCCACCAGTATTCAAATGTGGGCATATCAGGTATGCATGCCAAGTTTGGTCCAGATTCATTGTTGTTTGCGTTCATAGTGCGCCCTGGATGTCGGTGAACTACAACTTCGGTAAATCCCTTCAAAGACCTCCAGTATGTTTAGTTGCTGGAGTTCAAAGTGTTTTTAGATTGCAGGTGAAGTATGCATCCCAGTATATACAACTCCTATAAATCATGGTGAATTCTCCCCAAGCCTCTCTAGTATGTTCACTTGCTGATCAATCTGTTTCCTGTGTGCCATAGAAAGGAATTGGAAAGGGTTAAGGGAGAGGCAGTGGGCGGGGTCATGCAATTCCCACACCAATGGAGAGAGTCAGAAACACTGGGGTGTCTGTGATGGAGGAAACAGATAAAATCTAGGATGAAATTTTCCCCGTATGAAAGCCTTCACGGGTGGTGGGCAGTATGGTGTTGTTGGGGGACACTGGCAGGGGTTGTGCATATTCACAGCGCTCGCTATAACCTGCAGTGTCATTGGAGGGAGGGCCTTTGATGGCTCCTCATAGGTGGGATCATAGCTGTTTGCGGAAGTAGGAGCCTGTCTGTGAAAGTGGGCACCCCAGCCACATACACACATACATATTTTCAGTTGTATTATGTGTATAGATAGATGTGATTGATGTGAAACCCTCCCTTTTTCTTTAAGCTGGAAAGAGGTGACTTTCTCTCGGAGGAATGGCGAGAGAGGATCGCAAACACGAGGTATCTATTGATATGGCAAATCCCTTATCCAACTTCCTTGGGGCCCTTTTCCTTGAATTCTGGGCCAAAAAACACCCAAAACTTAATGCTTAAGTGCCCCTTTCCTCAACCCAAAGTGGAACCCCCAGAATGATGTCTGACTCATTTTTGTCTTTTCCTTGCAGTGTTATTTTTGTGAATAATTTTGCCTTTGGGCCYGAGGTGGATCACCAGTTAAAGGAACGTTTTGCCAACATGAAGGAAGGTAAGATGTCAGGTCCATGGCATTTCCYTGCAAGGAAAGGAAAATGCACGCCACTCCGTTTTGAGATGTGCGGCTTGTGTATGTGTGTGTTGGTGGCTCTCTTTGTCCTTCCTATCTCTTCTTCCTCTCTCTTTTCAATACGAAATGGTAGAGTTTCAAATGTGAAAAGAGAGAGGAAGAAGAGATAGGAAGGACAAAGAGAGCCATCAACACACACAGTCTTCCTCCGCCTTTGCAGTTTTGACTTTTCTTGGACTGGACCATTCGGAGYCTTGAACACTGAATGGACACTAATAGTCTGCTCTTGTGTGAACAGGGGGTCAGATCGTTTCCTCGAAACCATTTGCACCGCTGAACTTCAGGATCAACAGCCGAAACTTGAGTGGTAAGAATTGGCTTTGGCATTAGGAAAGGGAATTGGAATCCTTGCTTTTCTGTTTGTTGTGTGTGAAACTCCAGGAGTTCTATACATTAATTCATTCCTTCCTTATATGAGAGCCCTGCAAATTACTCAGTAGAAAGGGGGAAATGAACTTCTGTAGACTCATATAATCCAGTTCAAATCAGATAATCTGGGATCAGATATTAGATTATATGGCAGCATAGATCCAGCCTGAGAGTTTTCCTGGCCAGATTTATTTGCAGGAGGCTTGCCCATGCCTTCTACTGAGGCTTGGATAAGGAGACCCTTTACCTTAATGCAGCGTTTCTCAACCTAGGGGTCGGGACCCCTTAGGGGGGTTGCGAGGGGGTTTCAGAGGGGTCACCAAAGTCCATCAGAAAACATATTTCTGATGGTCTTAGGAAACCCTTTGGCAGAGAAGGCTGAATATCTCTCTGCCTGTCCTTCTCTTCCTTTTTGGAAACAGACGGTGAATCCTCCCACCAAAAGCCCTCCTCTGCTATGATTGGCCGGCTGTTTCTGAGACTACACATGGGGAGGGGAGAGCAGGCGTGATTTGCGCATGACAGCATGGTGCGCATTTGCGGGCGAGGGAGAGTGTTTGAGGCTGGAGGGAGGTTCGTGCTAGCAAGTCTCTTCAAGGCATGGGGATTCTGTGTGGGAAGTTTGGCCCAATTCTATCGTTGGTGGGGTTCAGAATGCTCTTTGATTGTAGGTGAACTATAAATCCCAGCAACTACAACTCCCAAATGACAAAATCAATCTCCCCCAACCCCACCAGTATTCAAATTTTGGCATATCAGGTATTTGTGCCAAATTGGTCCAGTGAATGAAAATACATCCTGCATATAAAATATTTATATTACCATTCATAACAGTAGCAAATGATAGTTATGAAGTAGCAATGAAAATAATTTTATGGTTGTGAGTCACAACATGAGGCACTGTATTAAGGGGTCACGGCATTAGGAAAGTTGAGAAGAACTGCCTTAGTGTAACACCAAGATGGGAAGAAGCTTAGAGAGGACTGTGTTTCTCCTATAATGGGGAATGTCTTTCTTTCTTTGTCCTTGCAAAGATATTGGCACCATCATGAGAGTGGTGGAATTGTCGCCCTTGAAAGGATCCGTCTCGTGGACCGGAAAACCCGTTTCGTACTACCTGCATACTATTGATCGGACCATAGTGAGTACTCTATGCAAGGTGGCCATTTTCTATGAATGGCTTTAATTTCTAAACATGGTTAGGACGTAACATTTGGGACACTTTTCCCTCCTTTGCGCCAAACCATGGTTTAATTTGATCTCTTGGCCCTTAGAGCGTCAAAAATAGCATTAAAAGTTTGGGGGATTGCTTTAGGGAGGGAATGCTGCTGCGTTGCCTCTTTCTTTGGGGGAAAAACATTCCTACTTTTGTTTTCAGGATTGATATTTTGCATTTTGTTCTTCGTTTTAGCTTGAAAACTACTTCTCTAGTCTCAAAAATCCAAAACTCAGGGTAAGTGAATTCTTGCTTGTGGACGAATGTTGGGCAGTATGGTGTTAGTTGAGGGCATTGGCAGGGGTTGGGCTACATGTTCGTGGCGCTCGCTATAACCGGCAATGGCATTGGAGGGATTTTGGTGGCTCTTCAGCACTGTGGGTTAAAGCTGTTTGTGGAAGCGGGAGCCTGTCTGTGGAAATTGGGCACCCCAGCAACATAGACCCGTACACATTTTCACTTCTATTATATGTATTTATGTATAGATAGACAGATAATATATATGACATGATGTTTGATATATATTTGTGTGTGTATATATATATAATATAGTTTACAATACATATATATTGTAAGAAACTCTTATAAGGGTTTGGTTTAACCTCTGGTTTGCTAGTAAAGCAGAATGACCGTGTTGCAAAAGGAAGCATGTCTCAAAAGTGTGTCACCAACACAGAAAGTATGGAAAGCTCTTCTTTATAGTAAACTAGCTGTCCCCTGCCATGCGTTGCTGTGACCCAGTCTGGTGATCTGAAAAATAAAGTAAAGAGAAAGTGTTGGTTTCTGATATATATATATAATTTCTTTTGCTTGTGGGTAAACAGTATTTCTTGTTTTTTTGTCAGTGTTGAAGTAGAGATTCTCTAGTTTGCCTACTCTGGAACATGCAACATATCATTGTCCTTCTTTAGTAGTCCCTTTCAAATCTATGATACTATATCTGTCATATGTGTTTGTGTGTGTGTGTGTGAATCATATATATCTTATCTATATCTCTGGCTGGCTGGCTCTCTGTCAGGAGGGCTTTGATTATGTTTTCTTGATCTGCTGAAGGGAGTTGGACTGGATGGCCTTAAGTATTTTTTGTTGGTCATGGGGGTTCTGTGTGAGAAGTTTGCCCCCATTCTGTCGTTCGTGGGGTTCAGAATGCTCTTTGATTGTAGGTGAACTGTATTTTATTTATTGTGTCAGTATCAACCAGACAATTGTATTACATTTTTAACAAATTTTTGACAAACAGACAAAACAGAGTTTGCAAGCTTGGTAGTTGATTAAATGTCCTTTGACCAGTATCTGGCCACTTGGAGTGCCTCTGGTGTTGCTGCAAGGAGTTCCTCCATTGTGCATGTGGCGGGGCTCAGGTTGCATTGCAGCAGGTGGTCAGTGGTTTGCTCTTCTCCACACTCGCATGTCGTGGATTCCACTTTGTAGCCCAATTTCTTGAGGTTGGCTCTGCATCTCGTGGTGCCAGAGCGCAGTCTGTTCAGCGCCTTCCAAGTCGCCCAGTCTTCTGTGTGCCCAGGGGGGAGTCTCTCATTTGGTATCAGCCATTGATTGAGGTTCTGGGTTTGAGCCTGCTACTTTTGGACTCTTGCGTGCTGAGGTGTTCCAGCGAGTGTCTCGCAGGTGAACTGTGAATCCCAGTGACTACAACTCCCAAACTCAAGGTCAATGCCCACTAAACCCTTCTAGTGTTTTCTGTTGGTCATGGGAGTTCTGTGTGCCAAGTTTGGTTCAATTCCATCGTTGATGGAGTTCAGAATGCTCTTTGATTATAGGTGAACTATAAATCCCAGCAGCTGCAACTCCCAAATGACAAAATCATATTTTTTTGTGTGATGGTCACTCCTTGTGTTGTGAGACGTTTTATTGCCAAATTTGGTGTGATTTTGTTCATTGGTTCTTTTGTTTTTAAGGTACTCATTATGCACAGAACATTTATATATATATAGATATAGATAGGTCCTTTTGGGAAACAGACTGAATTGGCAGGGGGCCCTTTTGATGCACTTTTAATCCTGGAGGCATATTACACTGTCATAATACTTTGGGGTCTCCTCCGTAATCTCCTCACCGGTGTCTTCTCTCTTTCCTCTACCTGCAGGAGGAGCAAGAGGCAGCTAGGCGCAGGCAGCAGAGAGAGAATAAGAGCAACACAACGACACCAACAAAAGTCCAGGAGAATAAGGTCAGGACTTCACAAACTCAAATTATCAGTTTGATAACGAATGGTAAAGCTGGCTGTCCTCCATGCTTTTCTGCTCCAAGCAGGCTTTTGGAAAACCAAGGAAGTTCTGTTGAGAGTGTTGAAATCTTAGTGGTTTTACCGTTATTCTCTCTTTTCTCAAAAAGCAGGATGACGGGGCTGAGGACGAGAAGCTCCCGGGGCCCAACACCCTCAAGAAGCCCTCTCCGTCCAAACCCCGCAAGAAGAAGCTGAGCAAAAAGGGTCGGAAGATGGGTGGCCGGAAGCGAGGGCGGCCCAAGAAGATGAACGTGGGCGGCACGGCAGAGCGCAAGCCCAAGAAGAACCCAGCGGCGTCAGAGTTGCTCAATTCTCAAACCGCCTCGCAGACGTCTTCGTCCTCTCCTCAGGGTAAGCGAGGCCTTTTGCAACCCTGCCTTTTCCTCCTTGAGATCTCTCTCAGCTCTTGCTCTTGGAAACATTTCACTGGGGTCGCTTCTCCTCCTAAACGGCCAAAGATCTGAGAGCCAAGATCTGTGAGGAGTGGTTTAGGGAGTTGGGGATGTTTCGCTTTTGGAAGAGAAGTGTTGGAAATTTTGGAAAGGCTGTCCCATCGAGGAGGGAAAGGGCACGTTTGTTTCTAGTATGGAGACCATGATAAAGAGCTATGGATTCTAATAGCAGGGGGAAAATTATTCCACCTCAACATTAGGAAGAACCGCCTGACAGTAAGAGCTATTTGACAATGGAATAGAGCCCCCAGCCCCCTTTAGATAGATATATCGAGAGGGATCAGATGGTGTCTTACTGCCTGACAGAAGGGGGTTGGACTGAATGGCCCTTGGAGTCTCTTCTAGTTCCATCCATCTATTTATTTATCTATCTATCCATCTACCTGCCTATCTAAATGGCCATCTATCAGAAGGGATCAGATGGAGTCTTCCTGCGTGGCAGAAGGAGGTTGGACTGAATGATCCTTGGGTTCTCTTCCAACTCTAGGATTCTATTTATCTAATTATCTTAAGGGGACTGGACTGGATGGCCATCTATCGGGAGGGATCAGATGGTGTCTTCCTGCCTGGCAAAAGGGGGTTGGACTGGATGACCCCTTGGGTTCTCTTCAAACTCTGGGATTCTATATCTATCTATCAATCTAATTACCTTAAGGGGGCTGGATTGGATGACCATCTATCAGGAGGGATCAGATGGTGTTGTCTTGCCTGGCAAAAGTGGATTGGGTTAGGAAATAAATCAATCTGTCTGTCTTAAGGGGGATCTCTTCCAATTCTATATCTATCTTAAGGGGGCTGGATGGCCATCTGTCTGGAAGGATCAGATGGTCTCTCCCTGCTTGTGAGAAAGGGGTTTGGCTGGATGACTCTTGGGGCCAATTCCAATTCTGTCTGTCTGTCTGTCTGTCTGTCTGTCTGTCTATCTATCTATCTATCTATCTATCTATCTCTCTCCCTGCTTGTGAGAAAGGGGTTTGGCTGGATGACTCTTGGGGTCTTTTCCAATTCTATCTATCTTAAGGGGGTTGAACTAGATGGCCATCTGTCAGGAGGGATCAGATGGCGTCTTTCTGCCTGGCAGAAGGGCCTTCTTCATCTGCCCCTTATTTCCCCCTCTTCCAGATGCATACAGGTCACCTCACAGCCCTTTCTACCAACTACCTCCGAAAGTGCAGCGGCATGCGTCCAACCAGCTCCTGGTGGCCCCCACCCCTCCTGCACTACAGAAGCTGCTAGGTAAGGAGCTCCGCTGGACCTTGTCAGCCATAGGGAACAGTGGGGCTGACATTGGTGTCTTTGTTCATCTCTGCCCCCTCCCCCCTCCTTTGGTCCTCACAGACTCTTTCAAGATCCAGTATCTGCAGTTCATGGCCTACATGAAGACCCCGCAGTACAAGGCAAACCTTCAGCAGTTGCTGGAAGAGGAGAAGGTGAGTAGGCCAGAGGCAAACATCTTATTGTCTCCTGTCCTTATTATGTGCCTTCGAGTCCCTTCTGACTCAGGGAGTCCCTTTTTAAAGCATGAACTTCTTTAAGTCTCAATTCAGATGATAATAATAATAATAATAATAATAATAATAATAATAATAATAATAACAACAGTAATTATAATAATACTAGCTTGGGTCCCCGGCGGTGTCCGGGTTATTTGAAAAAGTCATTTTGTTAAATTGTACAAAATGCATAAGGTTGTGGGTGAACTTACAACTCACATCATACCAGGTTAACCCTGAAAACCCTAAAATTTTCATGTTGGGCTAGTTTGCTCTAGGTGCATCATGGGTGGGGTTCAGTGTGCTCTCTGGCTGTAGGGTAAACTACAAGTCCCACTATGGTGAGTCAGTCACCTCGAAGCCCTCCAGTAGGTTGCATTAGTCATGAGGGTTCTGTGTGCCAAGTTTGGTCATGGTCCATCATCAGTGGAGGTCACAGTTTCTCTGGTTGTGGGTGAACTACAACTCCCAGAAAAGAAGCTTCCCCCCACCCCACCCCACCCCACCAGTAATCAAATTTCAACATATCAGGCCTGTGTGCCAAGTTTGGTCCAGATTCATCGGTGTTTGGGTTCATAGTGCTCTCTGGGTGTAAGAACTACAGCTCTCCCAAAGCAAGGTGAATTTTCCCCAAAGACCACCAGTATTTTTGCTGGTCATGGGGGCTCTGTGTTCCAAGTGTGGTCCAATTACATCTTTGGTTGAGTTCAGAGTGCTCATTGATTGCAGGTGAACTATAAATCCCAGTACCTACAACTCCAAAATATCCAGGCCAATTCCCCTCAAAACCCACCAGTATTCAAATTCAGGCATATTGGTTATGCATGCCAAGCTTGTTCCAGATCCATCATTGTTTGGGTTCATAGTGCTCTCTACATGTAGTTGAACTACAACTCCTATAAATCCCTCCCAAGTTAGTTCCAGGTCCATTGTTGGTGAAGTTCAGAGTGCTCTTAGACTGCAGGTGAACTATTCACCCCAGTACCTACAACTCCTATAAATCACGGTGAAATCTCCCCAGATCTCTCTAGTATGTTCAGTTGATCAATTCCTCTCCTTGCTGTTTGCCATAGAAAAGAATAGGAAAGGGTTAAGGGAGAGGTTGCAGGTGTAGTCCTGCAGATTCTACACCAATGAAGAGAGTCAGAAACACTGGGATGTCTGTGGTGGAGTGTGAGTGTCCAGCATCCTCCATAGGCTCCACATCATAAGCATGCTCATCCATTCCATCAGTTGCTTATGAAAAACAAGACTCAGGCAGCTGTTTGGAATACTCCCAGTAACTCCTTTATTTCAGACACGCCGACAACTCAAATCCAGCAGACTCTCCTGTTTCTCTCCCACTCTCGCTCTTATCTCCACTCCTTCACTTCCCCCTCCGTCCTTCCAAATACTCCACGTGTGTCTCAGTGCTTGCTTTGATAAAGCGTCCTTGGATCTTGCTGGTGTTTTAAAGGAACAGCTTCTTTCCAACTCCAGGGCAGGACCCTCCACTGTCTCCCCTTTACACGACTGCCCCCCCCTCCACACACACACACCAAGAGGCGACCGCCCAGTGTTTGCATTCCAGCTAGCTCCCCCTGTCGAGAGAAACATTCAACATCATGCTCCTTGCCATGCCGGTGAGAAATGGTGAATGCATAGGGCTGTAGAGTAAGATACCGTATAGTCAATCTTGGATTAGCATCCTTCATCTGGTGCAACCACTGCAACGGGGCATGATCTGTAATTAACTGAAAGGGGGCACCCCACAGATAGTTTCTTAGGGTGTGTATAGCCCATTTTACAGCCAGGGCCTCCCGTTCAATAGTTGAATAATGTTGTTCCCTAGGACTTAATTTTCTGCTCAAATACAAGATGGGATGTTCTTCTGTGCCTCTCCGCTGTGCAACAACTGCCCTGCTACCTTTATCTTAGCCAGTGCTGTAGTATATGGCTTCACATCCACATGAATACTTTTCACCAACATGACCTCCCTCAAAGAAGGCCCTTCAGCCTGGCGGACCAAGGTCCTTTCACTTCCAGAATCCACCAAGGCTGTTACCTTAACCACATCTACCTCTGCTGGAATTACCCATACTGCTTGGAGTTTCACCTGCAGGATGGCCCATGCTTGGATCATCTAACATTCTATAAGTGTGAAATCTGGACGTATGTGGCCCTCTTAACCACATTTAAAGCACACGGTGGGGTTATTAGCTCTCCCTTTATGAATATCTTTGTTCCTGGGAATATACCCTGCAGGAGCTCCCAACCCTCTGTGGCCTCTTCCCAGTGTCTTATTAGCAGAAGGATGATAGTTGTCTGATCCTCCCCTGACTCTGGGTTTGTGGTTGGGTCCTTTCCTGGGCCCAGTCTCCTGGAAACCAGTTTGCACCTTAGATGTAATAGGCTGAGATGTTTTTCTCTCTGCATCTTCTGCTCCCACAAATGCTTCCATCAGCACCACTGCTGCTTCTAGAGTATCAGGCTTATGCATCTTATCCAGTTGCGGGCTTCCATAGGCAAAATATTTACAAATTGCTCTAGCATGATTTGCTCTGCCACCTGCATGGCACTCCGAACAGCTGGCTTAAGCCATCTCAGTCCATTATCTCTCACTTTCTGAGCCACTGTCCCTGGATGCCTGCCTGCCTGCCTGATATTGTATCTTTCTAAACCGTCGTCAATAAGTGTCTTCCAATACATTCAAAGTGCTCAGAATTGTCTTCTTGACCTTGTCATAATCAGCAGCCTCAACTGAGTCCAAACAATCAACAATCTCTTGAGTCGGTCCTACCAAACATGATCCTAGAAGAAGAGTGCACTGTGAGTGTGGCCATTGGGCTGCCATGGCCACATGTTTAAAAGTGTTTAGAAAAGCCCACGGATCATCCTCCTTGCACATCTTATTCAAATTAATGTTTTTAAGGCTTTGTACGGTTTTGTATATTCTTACTAGCTGTCCCCTGCCATGCGTTGCTGTGGCCCAGTTTGTTGATCTGGAAAATAAAGTAATGAGAAAATGTTGGTTTCTAACATATGTAATTTCTTTATGTTCGTGGGTAAACAGTATTTCTTGCTGTTTCTTTGTCAGTGTTGATGTGGAGAGTGTCTGGTTTGCCCACCCTGGAACATGCAACATATCATTGTCCTTCTTTAAGGGTCCCTTTCAAATCTATGATACTATTTCGCTGTGTGTGTGAATCATATCTATCTATTTATCTATATCTATGGCTGGATGGCTCTTTCTCAGGAGGACTTTGATTACATTTTCTTGCCCTGATGAAGGGAGTTGGACTGGATGGCCTTAAGTGTTTTCTGTTGGTCATAGGGGTTCTGTGTAGAAAGTTTGCCCCAATTCTGTCGTTCGTGGGTTCAGAATGCTCTTTGATTGTAGGTGAACTATGAATCCCAGTGACTACAACTCCCAAATGTCAAGGTCTATTTCCCCCAAACCACATCTGTGTTCATATTTGGGCGTATTGAGTGCTTGTGCCAAGTTTGGTCCAGATCCATCATTGTTTGAATCCACAGTGCTCTCTGGATGTAGGTGAACGACAACTCCGAAACTCCAGGTCAATGTTCACCAAACCCTTTCAGTATTTTCTGTTGGTCATGGGAGTTCTGTGTGCCAAGTTTGGTTCAATTCCATCGTTGATGGAGTTCAGAATGCTCTTTGATTGTAGGTGAACTATAAATCCCAGCAACTACAACTCCCAAATGACAAAATCATAATTTTTTGAGTGATGGTCACTCCTTGTGTTGTGAGACGTTTTGTTGCTAAATTTGGTGTGATTTCGTTCATTGGTTCTTTTGTTTTTAAGGTACTCATTATGCACAGAGCATTTATATATTGTATACTCATCTTTTTAACAGTATTTTATGATCGCTTTATTTGTTATAATTGTTGAGGCAGCCAATTGTTGCCAATTGTGAACTGCTCCGAGCCGCCTCTGGGCTGAGAGGGGTGGTATATAACTGTGGTATATAATAACTAAATAAACTTAATTGGAGGGGCGGGGGTTGAAACATAGGAGCCTTTGTTTGGTGGGTTCTGCCTAATTGTATAGCAGCCAGGTGCTGTATCATCTCACCTTGAGCTTGTTGCTGATTCCTCATTAGCTACTCCAACATGCTAGCCTGTTAGTTGTTCATCTGTTATACAAGTATTCTTTGTTGTTCTGCCAACCATTCAAACTTCTGTGCGTAGGATTTGGACTTTCTAGACAGGCCTGGGGCCCACGTTGGGCGCCAATGTGAGAGTGTAGCATCCTCCATAGGCAGGGGAACATCATAAACATGCTCATCCATTCCATCAGTTGCTTATGACAAACAAGACTCCTTTATTTCAGATACGCCGACAACTCAAACCAGCTTCTTCCCAACTCCGGGGCGGGACCCTCCACTATCTCCCCTTTACTTGGAGGAAAAACAGGAAATCTAGAATGAAATCGTTCCCATATGAAGCCTTCACTTGGGTGGTTGGCAGTGTGGTGTTTTGGAGGACACTGGCAAGGCTCTTTGACATGTTCATGGTGCTTACTATAATCTGCAGTGTCATTGGAGGGAGGGCCCTTGGTGTCTCTTGAGTAGTAGGAGTTATTGCTGTTTGCGGAGTTAGGAGCTTGTCTGTTTAGTGGACACTCCAGCCACATATACACATACATGTTTTCATTTTTATTATGTGTATAGAAGATAGCCAATGAACTGAAGTTGTAATTCTTTGCTTAAACCACAGATTGGCTTTTCCTTGTCTTTATTCATCTGGATTGGGAGCAATTCCGTATTGCTTTTTAAGCCTGAGCTGCTTTGGATGTTGATTCCGAGAAGAAAAATAATAATAATAATAATATAACCAGTGATCTTGAGTTGTAGTTCTGTTCTTAAACCTCACATTAGCTTTCTCTTGTCTTTGTTCATCTGGATTGGGAGGAGCCATAAATCATAATCATACTCCTGCACCAATTTATCCCAAGTGGCACAACATCCCTTTCCGATACCGTTTTGGCTGAATTTCTGCCTATTCTTTCCCTATTCAAGACAGTTCTTGGGCATTACAAGGAAGCCAACAACAGTTTTTATGGTTTTGGGCCAATTTAGCTATTTTAAAAATCCTTCTTTTTCTCACTCAGGAAAAGAATACTCACCTGCTAGGCAAGGCCCAGCAGTTGTTTACTCACTGTCAGGCTCAGAAGGAAGAGATCAAGCGACTGTTCCAGCAAAAGCTGGATGAGGTAGGTTTTTCAGGTCTTCATGGCAAAGATCCATGGTGTTTGAGTTCACAGTGCTCTCTGGATGTAAGTGAACTACAACTCCCCCAAATCAAGGTGAATTTTCCCTAAAGCACCAGTGTTTTTGCTGGTCATAAGGGCTCTGTGTGCCAAGTTTGGCCCAATTCAATTTTAGTGGAGTTCAGAGTGCTTATTGATTGCAGGTAAACTATAAATCCCAGTACCTGCAACCCCAAAATGCCCAGGCCAATTCCTCTCAAAACCTATCAGTATTCAAATATGGGCATATAGGGTATGCTTGCCAGTTTTGGTCCAGATCCATCATTGTTTGGGTTCATAGTATGCTCTGGATGTAGTTGAAGTACAACTCCTATTAATCCCTCCAAAGACCTCCGGTATTCTTTGTGTCCGGTTAGTTCCAGGTCCATTGTTGGTGGAGTTCTGTATGATCTTCGACTGCAGGTGAACTATACATCCCAGTACCTCCAATTCCTCTAAATTCTCCCCAAACCTCTCTAGCATGCTCAGTTGCTGATCAATCCCTGTTTCCTGTGTGCCATACGAAAGAACAGGAAAGGGTTAAGGAAGAGGCAGTAGGTGGGGTTGTGCAAATTCCACACCAATGGAGAGAGTCACAAACACTGGGATGTCTGTGGTGGAGGAAAAACATAAAATCTAGGATGAAATTGTCCCCGGATGAAAGCATTTACTTGGGTGGTGGGCAGTGATGTCTGTGGAGGACATTGGCAGGGCTCTTGGACATGTTCATGGTGCTCTCTATAATCTGCAGTTCCACTGAAGGGGGGTGGGGGGCTTTGGTGTCTCCTGAGTAATAGGAGCTATAGCTATTTGTGGAGGCAGAAGCTTGTCTGTGTAAGTGGACTCCCCAGCCACACACACATACATATAACTTTTATTATGTGTATAAATAGTAATAATAATACCCCCTTCTGTCCTCCATCAGCTTGGTGTTAAGGCCCTGACCTACAATGACCTCATCCAGGCGCAGAAGGAGATCTCGGCCCACAACCAGCAGCTGAAGGAGCAGAGTAAGCAGCTTGAAAAAGACAACGGCGAGCTCCGGAGCCAGAGTTTGCAGTTGGTAGGTCCCTGGTCACTTTTACATCCTTTCAGGTCCTCCAAAGCTCACGTTTACTGATGCCTTTATGTAAAATATCGGACTTGGGCATGAATGGATCTGTACCTGGCTGCTCACCTCTCCCTCAAAGCAATGGGAGCAAATGTGGAAGGAGGGCTTCTCAATAGCCACTGAACCAAGGCACTATAGACATTCTTGTCCCTTCCTCCAGAGAGAAATCTCAACTAGACTTTGCTGAATAGAGTAGATCATTAAAGAGCCAATTGCAACCTTATCTAGGACCACTTCCATGGGCTAAGCACACCTTGGTGCCTTAAATCAAGTGAAATGTGTTGGGTGAGCAGGCTTATTAACAAAAGACCCCCCTCAAATGCACAGTAGAGTAACTTATTAGCAGCAGTGTGACCCAGCACCAGTAGCCCAAAGTGATAAAAGGAACAAAAATATGCAGACCAATGCTATCGCTTCCATTGGAGGTTTTTCTTTGTAGTAAAATAATATGGCTACACTGTTTACAAGAACAAGGTTTCTATAACACAAATGAAGTTCTTTATAATTCCTTCTTTGCTTCCTTGCTGGGCTTCTTCCTCATGCAGGTAAACAGCTTCGCTCACAGAGCCTCCTCTTGCACCGAAATTACACTGGAGCTTCATTCACATAGTAGCTTTACACACAGGTTTACACACAAGGCCTTTAACTTGGGGCTTCTTTTACTGAAGCTTCTCACACATGGAGGTTTACCTCACACTTCTCAGGACGACACTAGCTTTATAATAATAATAATAAACTTTATTTGTACCCCGCCACCATCTCCCCAAAGAGGACTCGGAGTAGCTTACATGGGGCCAAGCCTGAACAAGAATTACAATATAACAATACAAATTGCAATCAATAAACAACATAACATTAAAATATAAAGCATCAAAGCATATAAAACAGTATACACAAAACATAGGAACTAAGCATAATGACAGAAAGACAAAGGGCGGGCCGCATGTACATAAAATGATTTAAATGATTTAGCTTTGGCCCACTGACTCTAACAGGCCTACTAACTCTTTCAGTGTTTGACTAACACTTTTGTAATCAAAAGTACCCAGTTAATTTTTAATCTTTCTGACAAAAATGCTGCTGTGGTTATTTTATTATTAATAGTCGAACTGTACTCCCTTTTCAAACTTTTTTTTCTCCTTTGTGCTCTAGCTGAAGGCCCGATGCGAGGAACTGAGGCTGGACTGGTCCACCCTTTCACTGGAGAACCTGCTCAAAGAGAAGCAAGCACTGAAGAGCCAGATTTCTGAGAAGCAGAAACATTGCTTGGAATTGCAGGTGAGAGGCAGAACCTGAGCAAAACTTGAAAAGACAAGTGGCCAAGTGCGAGTAAATCAGTTATACCTCTCCTTCCGTTTGGCAGATAAGCATTGTGGAGCTGGAGAAGAGCCAGCGGCAGCAGGAGCTGCTCCAGTTGAAGTCCTGTATGCCGCCAGAGGAGTCCTTGCTGGTGCCACCACCCCGCCACAAGAGCCACCCGAGCCGCGAGGCAGAGCCTGACCCGGGCCTCTTCCCACTGGAGCTGGAGGGCCCCAAGTTCCCCCTGCCGCCACCGCCACCCCACCTTAATGGCATGAGCCCCGAGCTCTCCATGAACGGCCACGCCACGGCCTACGAGATCCAGGGGGCCCTGGGCCGGCCCTCCTCGAAGCAGAGCACCCCGCAGTACCCGCCTCCCCACCTGGAGCAAGACGTCGTTCCTTGTACGCCCAGCCACGGTCCCCGACAGAAATCCGACAGGACCTCCTCCGGCCTGGCTTTGCCTGATTACACCAGGTTTTCCCCAGCAAAGATTGCCCTCCGGAGGCATCTGAACCAGGATCATGTTGCAGGTGCCAAAATCGCATGTGGCGAGAACCACCAGAGGTAAGCTGTTTGGGGAATCTAGGTGGGTCCAAGTGTTTATCTCTCTGTTTTTTTAAAAATAAAGTTTTATTGAATTTTCACATAGAATATATATAAAACCACCACCTCATACCCCAAATAGAGATTACAAGGAAAGTGGGAGAACATTAACGTATAGTAAAGTAGGAAAAGTAAAAAAGTAAGAAAAGAGAGAAAAAAATGTCCAAAAGAAAAAAGAAAGAGAAAAAAGAAGAGAAAAAAAATATATTGACTCCCATTCTGCGTCTCTGCTTGTTGTATTTTGGTGAACTCATCCAGTTATATTAGTCAACTCTGTTCCTTCTCAGGAAGTGTTATTGTTTTTCATACATTTAAAAGAGGCCTATTACTATTATTACAATTACTTTTAATTATTTTACTGCCTCTTTTCCTTAAAGTATTTTTCAAAAAAAGACCAATCTGTCTCTCTTATGGGATTTCCCGAACTTTTCTTCAACAAAAAAGTTAATTTGTCCATATCTTTAACTTCTTGTATTTTAATTATCCAATCTTCAAGCTTAGGTATGATGTCCATTTTCCATAGTTATTCTTGCAGCGGTAACTATATAAGTGAATAAAATGTCTTTATTTAGGTCCAGGGTAATATCCAAGTCAGTAATGTTAAGTAAGTAATACTCTGGCTTTTTTGGGAAGGAGATTCCCAGTATTTTTGCATTTCTTCGTGAATGATCTTCCAATATTCTTGGGCTTTTCTACAAGTCCACCACATATGAAAAAAACTACCCTCAGCCTCCTGACATTTCCAACATCTCTTGTCCATATTTTATCTCTCAGTTGTAATCCTCCTACTTGCCATACATCTCTCTCTCAATAATAATAATAACAACTATAAGTGTTTTATCTCTCAGTAGTAATCCTTCTACTTACTATAAATCTCTCTCTAATAATCATCACAGTAATCATCATAATTATCTAACAATTATCTAATAATCTAATAAATCTAATAATGTAATAAATTTCTCAATAATAATAGTAAATCTCTCTTTAATTATTTTTATTTTTATTATCTAATAATAATAAACAATACACTTTATTTATATTCCGCTTTATCTCCCTGGAGGGTCTCAAAGCGGATTACAGTACAGATATAAGGCAAACATTCAATGCCATTTTACACAAACAATAACATACAATACACAGATAAGGTAAAGGACTTCCCTTTTCCATCTCTGGCATCTGGAAACAATGCTCAACTTATGGCCATGGGGAGGTGCTCTTGTTCCATTTTCCATGCCGAAGGGACCTGCTGTTCATAGACATCTCCAGTCTTTTTGCTGGCATGTCTCCATCTCTGCATGGGACGCCTTTATACTTTCCTGCCTTAATCTACTTGCATTACATTCTTTTGAACTGCTAGATTGGCAGAAGCTAGGACTGACAGTCGGGAGCTCACTCCAACTCGTGGCTTCGAACTGTTGACCCTCTGGTCAGCAGCCTTTCCTGCAGCTAGCGGTTTTAACCGCTATTCTAATCTAGGTGGGCCCAAGTGCTTCTCTTTCAGTCATAATTCTCCTACTTGCCATACATCTCTCTCTCAATAGTAGTAATAATAAGTGCTTTATCTCTCAATAATAATAATAACAATAATAATAATCTTTATTTCTAGGCTGCCCTCATCTGGTTTACAGATGAAAAACAAAAGGCAAACATTCAGTGCCTCAAATGAATACAAACACATCAAAATAATACAAGATAATGCACAGAAACAACAATAAACTTACAGCAAAGAATTGTGCATGAAGATGAAAATAATAAAAAACCAATAACATGGTAAACTAAAACATGAGTAAAACATTAAAAAATATACCCTAAAAACAATTATGATACGGTTTCTTTAAAATGGCTTTAAAATGACTAACACCAATATGTCATTTAAGATGTATCTTAGCAGCCATAAAATACAAGTGGGTTAGCCAGCATACCAATCGGTTAAAAGGTCCTAATCCTCCTCCTCTCCATACACTAAAGTGTATAAGTGCATTTTCAGAAGTTTCTTAAAGGAGAGAAGGGTGAGGGCCATTTTTATTTCTTTAGGGAGAGAATTCCAGATACAGGGAACGATTATGGAAAAGATCCCCTCTCTCGTTCCCACCAACCAAGCTTGTGACGGGGGCAGGATCGAGAAGAGGGCCTCCTCCGCTTACCGCAGTGCATGGAATGTCTTGAATTCTTGTCTGTTTAAGGCAAGTGTGAGTGTTGCAATTGGCAACCTTGATTAGCATTGAATAGCCTTTCAGCTTCAAGGACTGGCTGCTTACATACATTAAGGGAACAACTAACCACATAGGGAAGCTAATGAAGAAACACAACATACAAACAATCTACAGACTCACTAAGAAAATCCAACCAGTGCTCCATTCAGCAAAGGACAAGAGGGACACTCTCACCTCTGCAGGAGTCAATCGTATACCATTCCACTGTGGACAAGTTTACATTGGGATCCCCAGACACAGCAGCATTGCCCAGACATTAATCAAGAAACATGAAAGGCACTGCAGATTAATTGAACCAAAGAAGTCAGCCATAGCAGAGCACCTGATGAACCAACCTGGACACAGCATATTATTTGAGAACACAGAAATGCTGGACCACTCTAACAACCACCATGTCAGACTACACAGAGAAGCCATTGAAATCCACAAGCATGTGGACAATTTCAACAGAAAGGAGGAAACTATGAAAATGAACACAATCTGGCTACCAGTATTTAAAAAAACCTCTAAAATCAGGAGAGTAATTAAAGAGCAACACTCAGAAAACAGGGGAATTCCAGGCAGGAAACAATCAGGGCCAGCTAACACCTTCCAACAAAGGATTCCCCAGGCAGGAAGCAGCCAGGTTTTGAAGCTGCAAGGCCATTCAATGTTAATCAAGGTGGCCAGTTACAACATTCACACCTGCCTCAAACAGACCAGAGTTCTTTCTCCCACCCTGGACATTCCACAGATATATAAATCCCAATTGCCTCGTTTCCTACAGACCCCTCAACCTCTAAGGATGCTTGCCATGAGTCTGGCCATGAGTTTTCATGGCCAGACAGCCCAGAAAACTCACAGCAGCCCAGTGATTCTGGCCGTGAAAGCCTTCAACAACACAATAATAATCAGTGTTTATTTCTCAGTAGTAATCCTTCTATTACTATACATCTCTATATAATAATAATAATAACAACAATAATAACAATAATACTGAGTGTTCATCTCTCAGTAGTAATCCTTCTCCTTACTATGCATCTCTCTATAAAAACCAAAGTATGTAGGTTTGTCTTCCTGTATCACAATGGCTTTTTGCTAGGTGAAGTGAAGGGAGAACGTAGGCAGACTAAGCTCTCGCCTTTTGGATTTTTTAGAGTGGAGCACCTCAAGGAGAACGGCCTGACTTTCCCAAGCCCTACCATGTCCAACGGCATCAAGATGAGCCCTGCAGAAACCCGTCCGTCTTCTCCTACAGCAAACGAAAAGGTAAGCCAGCTTCTGGATGTCATTCCTGGAACTTTTGGGTGAAATGCCTTTTTTACTTGATCCTTGAGTGATTGAGTTCTTGAGTCCTGGTTCATCCCATTAAAAGTCGACCCATTAAATGGCGAGTCAACACAGTTAAAATTAATTCATTGGGGGACTAATAGTAGAATTGAGTCCATAACACACGTGCATACACACACACATATATATGCATGTATGTATGTATGTATGTTTCTTACTTGTCTTTCCTTGAGGCTGGGCACAACACAGTTAAAACACATCATTCTAAAACATTATGTAAAATGCAAATATTAAAATATGTTTCTATGAACTACATATATTAAAATATAAAATATGCCTAGCATTGCGTTGGAATTTTGGGCTGCAGTATTGCATTGTAAATGTCGCAGTGTGATCCAGTGATTCATCCTCAGTCCTGGTGGCATGTACTTGCATAGATCCTTCATTCTGGGCCAAAGTGGGAGGAGATAATACTCCTTAATGTATATGTCTTTCCCTTGGGGAGTGAGATGTGGTTGTTGGAAAAGTGGTGCATGCATCTGTATGTCGGCTGACTGTCTGCAACTCTAAAACTATATCTATTTGCTGCGGTGCCATTGGCTTTTCGACACTGCCCCAGCCCTCCTGAAGGTGCGAATTTTGGCCCTTGTCTGCTTTGTTTGTGTGTTTGCAGGCTTTGCGCGAGAGTCGGACGTCTGCAAATAACGGGGAGACCATCACCAGCCTTCCCATCAGCATTCCCCTCAGCACCGTCCAGCCCAATAAGCTCCCTGTTAGTATCCCCCTGGCCAGCGTAGTGCTCCCTAGCCGTGTTGAGAAGGTGGTGAGTAAGGCAGCCTTTTCCTTCACCTTCCTTTCTTTTTGTCCCTTGCTGGAAAGCCAAGCCACATTACACCCTTTGGGGGCCCCTCATAGACATTTCCAAGCTGGGATCCCCATCTCTTGTGGAGGAGAGGCAACTAGAATAGTTCGTAACAGCTGCTTGGCCTCGTCTAAATCCAGTCTTCCCAGTTAAAGTGGGAATTGGTTCCCTTCTTGGCATGAAGGAGCAATGTTCATTCTTTGGGGATTTTCCCTGCAGACATATGGGGAAAATCCCCGCATACTTTTAAGGATATTCTCTGCATACTTTGGGGATATTCCATGCATAGTTCAGAGATATTTCTTGCATACTTTGTTGATCTTTCCTGCAGATTTTGGAGATATTCCCAGCAGACCTTTGAGGATATCCCATGCATAGTTCAGGGATATTCCTTGCATACTTTGGGAATATTCCCTGTATACTTTTGGGGATATTTCATGCATAGTTCAGGGATATTCCTTGCATACTTTGGAGATATTCCCTGCTGACTTTTGGGGATATCCCATGCATAGTTCAGAGATGTTCCTTGCATACTTTGGGAATATTCTCTGCAGACTTTTGGAGATATTCCATGCATACATTTGAGAATACTCTCTGCATACTTTGGGGATATTCTATGCATAGTTCAGGGATATTCCTTACATACTTTGTTGATCTTCCCTGCAGATTTTGGAGATATTCCCAGCAGACTTTTGGGGATATTCCTGCATACTTTGAGAATATTCCATGTATACATTTGGGGATATTCCAGGCATACTTCAGGAATATTCCTAGCAGACTTTGGGTATTTTCCCCACATCCTTCTGGGGTATACATGTGGAGTATTCCCCACGTACTGGCTGATGAAGCAGGAGTCAACTATCCAATATCTCTTTCTATTCTCGATCGTTGGTGCCTTCTCCCTTCACAATCTGTTTTACCAATTTCCTGCTTATTTATTGAAAGAGGTAGGCCTCACTCTTTTTGACCAGAGTGGCTTGGGAATTGACTAATTTTGACAGGTTCCCTACTTACAAGCTGAATAAGACACAGCACATAACAGAAAGGGAATGGCGATCAGAATTAAGCTCAGCAGGATAAATTTATTGGAAAACCAATAAACATTCTTTTCCACAGCTGGAATGAAACCACATTTCTCCTTTCTTCTTCTTCTGTCCTCCAGCGGAGCACACCCAGCCCTGTCCACCAGAACCGCGACTCCTTTTCAACACTTGAAAAACAACATGGTGCTAATTCTCATAACGGCGTTAGCCATGCTGCTGGCAACAAGCCACTGACTTTGGCTACCTCAGGTGAGTCCTTTCCTTTCTTCCTCTCTTCCTTCCAATGCAGATGTGTAGGAACTTCAGACTTTTTATAATTATATTACAATCTATACACATAATAAAAGTGAAAATATGTATGCGTATATATGTGGCTGCGGTGTCCAATTACACAGACAAGCTTCTCCCCCCACAAACAGCTATAGCTCCCACTACTCAGGAGACACCAAAGACCCTTCCTCCAATGACATTCAGGTTATAGTGAGTGCCATGAACATGTCCAAGAGCCCTGCCAATGTCCTTCACCAACACCATACTGTCCACCACCCATGTGAAGGCTTTCATACGGGGACAATTTCATCCTAGCTTTTATGTGTTTCCTCCACCACAGACATCACTTTCCATTGGTATGGAATTTGCATGACCAAACCCACTGCCTCTCCCTTAATGCTTTCCTATTCTTTTCTATGGCACACAGCAAACAGAGGAATTGATCAGCAGCTGAGCATACTAGAGAGGTTTGGAGATAATTCACCATGATTTATAGGAATTGTAGGTACTGGGATGAATAGGTCATAGTAGGTCTTTGGAAGGGCTTATAGGAGTTGTAGTTCACATACATCCAGAGCGCACTAACCTGGCATAATGTGAGTTGTAGTTCACTCACAACCTTATGCGTTTTGTACAATTAAAAAATCGACTTTTTCAAATAACCTGGGCAATGCTGGGTAACCAAGCTAGTCAGTACATTTACCATATATTGTTTTAATCGCCGTTGTCATAAAATTTAGGCCTAAATGTAGAGAATAATAATAATAACTTTATTCTTATACCCTTCCACCATCTCCCCAAAGGGACTCAGGGTGGTTTACATATGGGACAGAATGTCCACAAGACATAAAGCAAAACAATCCATTACAACACAGACACAATGAAATAAAACATAGTAAAATATAACAATCCAGATAAAAACACAATTAAATAAAACATAAAAATATAAAACAGCAGTATTGAAACTTCATCAAAACAATGCTCGACAAAAACTAAAAACCAGAAATACTAAAACGGGCATGGTATAATGCAAAGCAGTATATTATAGGGCCGGGGAGTTGGATCAAGCACAGAGAACAGAGTGGCGAACTAGGGACTGGGAATATATAACTAGGGATTAGTCATTCTCAAATGTCTGTTGAAACATCCAGCTCTTTAGGTCCCTGAAAAAGGAGGACAGTGTGGAGGCTTGCCCAATCTCCCTGGGGATAGAATGGAACCTTGTGGGACTCCACAGTCAATGGCCAGGGGTCCAAGCAGGTTTCCCCAGCTTCACCAACTGGGTACATTCCTCCAGGAAGGAGCGGAGCCACTGCAATGCAATGCCCCCAAGACCCATTCTGGAGAGCCATCCCAGAAGTAGGCCATGGTCGATGGTATCAAAAGCCGCTGAGATATCCAAGAGAATCAACAGGGGCACTGAATAGAGGTGTAATATTTTAATCATAAAATCTAGGCCTAAACATTGAAAGTGCAACCAGAGATTGGACTAGGGGCAGCAACCCTGACCTTGTATTTTTTACTAAAGGCTTGACCTGAGCATAGTGAAGCAGAACTGGAGACCTGCGCCTAATGATTTCCGTTCCCTGCTTTTCACAGGTTTTTCTTACATGTCTGGCTCCGCATCACTGAATGGGATCCTTCCCAGCAGCCCTGCCTCATTGAACCACAGCATTGACGCGGCCCTGGAAGACGTGTCCAGTTCGGGGAGCCTGTTCAACTCGTCGGGGTCCCGCAGCTCCACACCACAGCACCCCTCCTTGCTGGCGATACCCTCGCGGACCTCAGGGCAGAACTCACCAGCCCACTCGGCCAGCCCCCGGTCGAACGGGGTCTCCCAAGGCCTGGGAGGGGTGCTGCAGTATGTCGAGAGCCAAAAAATGTTCTCTGAGGGAGGAGGGCAGTCAGAGCCGACCTTCTCCGACCCGGAGAGTGAGGGCAAGCGGAGGATCATCTTCACTTTAAGCAAGCACAGCCCCTTGGCGGCAAGTGTCCGTATGGAGTGCGGCCCAGCCTACGCGCAGGACGGGAAGAAGCGCGGGCGGAGGAAGCGGTATTCCACAGGAGCCCTCGGTGCCAACTCCGGCGTGTCACCCAAACGCAAATCGCTGCCTACCGTGGCCGGGCTCTTCACTCAGCCATCGGGCTCCCCATTGAATATCAACTCCATGGTGAGTGTCAGAAATATTAAAAGATTAACTGGGTATGTTTGATTACAAAAGTGTCAAGCACTGAAAGAGTGAGTAGGCCGAAGCCTGTTAGAGTCAGTGGGCCAAAGCTAGTGTTGTCCTGAGGAGAGTGAGTAGGCCGAAGCCTGTTAGAGTCTGGGTCAAAGCTAGTGTCGTCTGAGGAGAGTAAGTAGGCAGAAACCTGTTATAGTCAGTGAACAAAGCTAGTGTTGTCCTGAGGAGAGTAAGTAGGTGAAGCCTGATACAGTTAGTGGGCCAAAGCTAGTGTTGTCCTGAGGAGAGTAAGTAGGCCGAAACCTGTTATAGTCAGTGAACAAAGCTAGTGTTGTCCTGAGGAGAGTAAGTAGGTAGAAGCCTGATACAATTAGTGGGCCAAAGCTACTGTTGTCCTGAGGAGAGTTAGTATGCCGAAGCCTGTTAGTCAGTGGGACAAAGTTAGTGCCGTCTTGAGGAGAGTGAGTAGGCCGAAGCCTGTTAGAGTCAGTGGGCCAAAGCTAATGTCGTCCTAAGGAGAGTTAGTAGGGTGAAGCCTGTTAGAATCAGTGGGCCAAAGCTAGTGTCATCTTGAGGAGAGTGAGTAGGCCGAAGCCTGTTAGATTCAGTGGGCCAAAGCTAGTGTCATCTTGAGGAGAGTGAGTAGGGAGAAGCCTATTAGAGTCAGTGGGCCAAAGCTAGTGTCATCTTGAGGAGAGTTAGTAGGCCAAAGCCTGTTAGAGTCAGTGGGCCAAAGTAGTGTCATCCTGAGAAATATGAGGTAAACCTTTGTATGAGAGAAGTCTTGTGCGAAAAAAGCTCCAGTGTATGAAGGTTGCTTCGTGTAAAGCTACTGTGTATTCATTTATTTGTGTTATGGAAACCTTGTTGTAAATAGTGCCACCATATTATTTTACAGCATAACTTCCTTTTTTAAAATGCGTGCCATTCAGTCGGTTGAAGGCATAACGGAGCGCTAGTGGTCTCATTCGAGAGGCAGAAGTATAAAGTTTTGTCCTGACGCAGTTCAGTCGCCATCATGCGTTGGAACAGTGAGGAGTGTGCTTTTGCCGATGAGGCCTACTTTTCGTGTGGATTTGGAGCGGCCGGCCCACTCTCCAGATTTGGTTCCTTGTGATTTTTTTTTATGGGGTTTTTTGAAATCCCATGTTTACGTGAACCGTCCAAGGACTCTACAAGATTTGAAGACCAACATCCAGAAAGAAATTGCCAACATAACGCCTGCTATGCTGGCAAGAGTCATGATAAACGCCAGAAATTGGTTTACTCAGTGTATGGAGAATGGAAAATGGGGGACGTCATCTACCTAATTTGATCTTCAAAACTATGTAAAACAAAACTTTAGGCATGCACCTACATTATAAAAAAAATTCTGATTCATACAATGGGTTTTATTAAGTTTTGAAAAAAGGAAGTTATGCTGCCTCACCCTGTACAAAGAAAAGCCTCCTATGGAAGAGATAACATTGTTCTGTGTGTTTTTGTTCTTTTTATCACTTTGGGCTGCTGCTGCTGGGTTACGCTGCTGCTGCTAAGTTACTCTGCTGGGCATTTATGACGAGGGTCTTTTGTTAATAAGCCCACTCGCCCAACAAAGGTTATGCCCCTAGTATAGCTCAGTATAACCCAGTCTAGACTAGTACAGACCAGTAGAGACCATATTGATTCTGAAGAAATATGGCAATTGCATTTCAAGCAAGTGGACTGCCTTTTGAAAGGTTGAATGCCAGCAATTATGCCACATGGTCATTGAAAATTAACATTTTTCTGTTAAGAGACAATTTGTGGGAAGTAGTGGATAATCTTTGATGATATTTCCTTAATGAAACATTAAGGTGCCACAATTTTGAACCGCTAAGGCGATCAGGTTTAGAAGATTTATTTGGAGTTAAAACATAATCGGAATTTCAGACCCATCTCTTCTGGCAGGCCTACACAGTCATTTTTCGAATAGTTTTATTGTCATTGTAGTATTACACAATAAAATTAAATGCCCTCCCCAGCATACACACCACAAAACAACAAACCCATCTCTCTACACTCCCAACTAACCCCCGCACAATGTTCCAGTGCCACATCAATGTGAAACCATGGAGTTCAACATAGCCACAGCTCTAGGATAAAAGCTATCTCTCAGTCTGTTTGTCCTTGTCTTTGTCGCCCTCTACTGTTTGCCAGGTGGCAATAATTCAAAAAAAGAATATGCCGGGATCCCCAGGAATGCTAGTGTCATCTTGAGGAGAGTTAGTAGGCCAAAGCCTGTTAGAGTCAGTGGGCCAAAGTAGTGTCATCCTGAGGAATATGAGGTAAACCTTTGTATGAGAGAAGTCTTAAGGCTGCAGGACCTATAAAGTTGTTATAAAGAGGGCAACCAATGATTCTTTGTGCAGAAGTGGTGATCCTTTGGAGCACCTTCCTATCTGCAATTATGTGCAGTTAGCAAACCAGGTGCAGATGCAGGAGGTTAGGATACTCTATAGCACAGCGAGAGAAAGTCACCAGTAATTTTCAATGCAGTTGTTGATTCCTTAGAAGTTTCAGATAGAATCTCTGTGTGGTCGAAGGCTTTCGTGACCAGAATCATTGGGTTGCTGTGAGTATTCTGGGAAGTCTGACCGTGTTCCAGAAGCATTCTCTCCTGACGTTTTGCCCACATCTATGTCAGGCATCCTCAAAGGTTGTGAGATCTGTTGGAAATTAGGCAAGTGGGGTTTATATATATACCTGTGGAATAATGTCCAGGGTGGGAGAAAGAACTCTTGTCTGAGGCAAGTGTGAATGTTGCAATTGGACACCTTGATTAGCGCTGAATGGCCTTGCAGCTTCAAAGCCTGGCTGCTTCCTGCCTGTGAAAATCCTTTGTTGAGAGGTGTTAACTGTCCCTAATTGTTTCCTGTCTGGAATTCCTGTTTTCTGAGTGTTGTTATTTTTTGAAGGTCTTGATTTTATAGTTTTTTAATACTGGTTGCCCAGATTTTGTTCATTTTCATGGCCAGTTGCAACATTCACACTTGCCTCAGACACCCTAGACATTCCACAGATATCTAAACCCCACTTAGCTAGCTTCCAACAGATCTCACAACCTCTGAAGATGCCTGCCATAGATGTGGGCAAAACGTCAGGAGAGAATGCTTCTGGAACATGGCCATACAGCTCAGAAAACTCACAGCAACCCAGTACAATCTCTGCTAGGCCCTCTGAATTTTATCCACATTTATCAATGAATACTAAGATACATTTTAATTATGAGCCGCAAGGAGAGGCAGACAATAAAAGTATTATTATTATTATTATTATTATTATTATTATTATTATTAAATAGAATCAGGCAGTCCTCCCTATCTAAGAAAGTTCAGTTCCAATCCCAGGAGATCCAAGATGCTTGAGACCAGAAGCATTTTGCATTCTGGAATATTTACTTATACAAATACCTTACGATAATGTTATGCAAATGAAACAAAGTGTGTGCAAAGATGTCGTGTCACTGTCCTTTCCTTCCAAATTCTGGATTTGGCCAAAGTTCAGTCCCAAAGCTCTCTTTCTCTCTATTTTTCTCTCTCGTATAGAATGGGCTAGAATTTTTTTAAACTCCCCAGATGATGTTGACTACAACTCCCATTGTCCCTAGAAAGCATACGGGAGTTGTAACCCACCTGCACATCAGTTGGACCCCAGAAGCTTTTCCTTTTCTGCTTACCCTTCCATCTCCTTGATCCTTAACACATTTTCTTCTCTTTCTCTCCATATCTTTTATTTGTTTTTGTTTTTTCTGTCCTTTCCTTTCTTCAGGTCAGTAACATTAACCAGCCTTTAGAAATAACAGCCATTTCTTCCCCCGAAAACTCCCTGAAGAATTCTCCTGTTCCGTACCAGGACAACGACCAGCCGCCAGTGCTGAAAAAGGAGAAGCCCCTTCCCCAGACCAACGGCATCCATTACTCACCCTTGACATCCGATGAGGAACAAGGATCGGAGGATGAGCGAAACAGCACAAGGTGAATGCAACTACTATGATGCACCTCTTCTTTCCTTCCAGTGTTTCCTCTTTTGGCATCAAATCCCGCCGCCATCCTTCCCAATAATTTTAGGATCCCCACAAATCCCCAGGGCCGAATCAACTACATCCAAGAGTATTGAAGGAACTAGTGGAAGTCATTTGCGAACCACTGGCAATTATCTTTGAGAGTTCTTGGAGAAGTCTCAGCAGATTGGAGGAGGGCAAATGTGATCCCTATCTTCAAGAAGGGAAAAACGGACGATCCAAAAAATTGCCAATGTCCAGTCAGCTTCACATCGATACCAGGCAAGGTTCTAGAAAAGATCATTAAGGAAATGGTCTGCAAACACTTAGAAAGGAATGCAGTCATCATTTATAGTCAACATGGATTGATCAAAAATAAGTCATGCCAGACAAATCTGATCTCTTTTTTCAATAGAGTTACAAGCTGGATAGATGCAGGGAACACCGTGAATGGAGCATATCTGGATTTCAGCAAGGCCTTCCTTTGACAAGGTCCCCCATGAGCTTCTGGCAAGGAAACTAGTCAAATGTGGGCTGGTTAAGCGAACTAACCCAGAGGGTGATTCTCCCCAATGCTTCCTCTTCATCCTGGAAAGAAGTGAGGAGTGGAGTGCCACAAGCAGGGTTCCATCCTAGGGCCGATTCTGTTCAAAATCTTTATTAATGACTTAGCTGAAGAGTTAGAAGACATGATCATCAAGTTTGCAGACAGGTCCAAATTGGGAAGGAGAGTCAATACTCCAGAAAACAGGAGCAGAATTCAAAACGATCTTCACAGACTAGAGAGATGATTGGTCAAAACTAACAAAAAGAAGCTCAACAGGGACAAATGCAAGATACTGCACTTAGGCAGAAAAAGTCAAATGCAAAGATACAGAATTGGGGACGATGCCTGGCTCGACAGCAGTACATGTGAAAAAGATCTTGGAGTCCTCGTGGGGAGGAAGGTGAACATGAGCCAACAATATGATGCAGCAGCCAAAAACGCCAATGGGGTTATGGCTTGCATCAATAGGAGTCTAGTGCCTAAATCCAGGGAAGTCATGCTTACCCTCTATTCTGCTCAGACCACTTTACCTGGAATCACACTGTGTCCAATTCTGGGCATCACAATCTAAGGGAGATGTTGAGAAGCTGGAATGTGTCCAGAGGAGGGTGACTCAAATGATCAGGGGTCTGGAGAAGAAGCCCTATGAGGACAGAGTGGTTGAAAGAGCTGGGTGTGTTCAGGCTGCAGAAGAGAAGGCTGATAGGAGACACGATGGTCATGTATAAATATGTGAGAGGAAGTCCTAGGGAGGAGGGAGCAAGCTTGTTTTCTGCTGCCCTGGAGACTGGGACACAGAACAGTTCCTTCAAACCACAAGAAAGAAAGGAAGAACTTCCTAATGATGAGAGAGAGCTCTTCAGCAATGGAACCCTCTCTCTGCCCCAGAGTGTGGTGGAGGCTTCTTATTGGGGGGCTTTGAAACAGAGGCTGGATGTCTATCTGTCGGAGGTGCTTTGAATGTGATTTTCCTCCTTCTTGGCAGAATGGGGTTGGACTGGATGGCCCACCAGGTCTCTTCCAACTCTAGGATTCTATGATTCTATTAAATTGATGACAATGTATTTTATCAACCAACACACTCTCTCTCTGCCCTTTCCTTTCCCAGGATCGAGAGGAAAATTGCAACGATATCACTTGAAAGCAAATCCCCACAAAAGTCGATGGAAAACAGTAAGTTTGGCAGTTTCCATTGACGGGGTTGGGTGCTTTAATAAATACGGGTCTTGGGTTGTCAATGAGAGAAGTGAGGTTTTGTACATATGGTGACTGATTCTTAAGGCAAGCTTATTCCATTTGCTTGCCAGACTTTTTTCGCCAGGCCTTCCTTTGAGGCTGAGAGAGTGTAACTTGTCCATGGTAATCCAGTGGGTTTCCATGACAAAGTGGGATCTGAACCTTGGTTTCCAAACTCAGACAGCTAGTTCTGCAATGCCCATCCAACAACTGATATCAGAAGACTAGACTAGTTGATGGTCGGATCAGTTGATGTTCAGATCTTATCCAGTCAGGCTGCTTCTAGCGGAGATACATTTATTTATTTGATGAAGGCATTTATTTCTCACCCCTTTAAGGGGGGGTAGAAAGGCTTCCATATTTTAAAGTCTCTCTCTTTTTCTTTGTTTGTACAACAGGCCTCACTTTAGCTGGGAGGAAGCAAGCCAGCGAGAGCATGAACAGCAGCAAGTGGAAGTCAACCTTTTCACCCATATCCGACATCAACCTCACCAAAACCTTGGACAGTCCTTTGCAGGCCTCGGTGCCGCCCCTGAGCCAGAACTCCCTCTTCGCCAGTTTCAGGCCATCTGCAGAGGACAGCACAACTGGAGACACCAAGGCCACCATGAGGAAACATGTCTCTGCCCCCGGGTCTGACCAGAATGGATTTCCTTACAACAGCGGGCTGTCAGCAGACGTTGGTTTACATAGCTTTATCGACGGCACTGGGTTGCCGCAGAAGAACATTGACGTGGCGGCCCTGGGCGGCTCCTCGTTGAGCTTCCTGGTGCAACGGGGTAAGGAATCGGCCTCTGAGACGAACCCGTTCTTGAGCAAACGGCAGCTAGAAAGCCTGGGAACCGGGAAAGGGGAGGACTTAAACTGGCCCAAAGGCAAAGACGGCAACGAGCTCCGTCTGGGCTCCGCTGCCGAGAAGGCCTTGCTGCTCCACAATAGCAAAGCTGGCAAAGGACGGGAGCGGGACGTAGAGTTCAAGAACGGGCACAACCTCTTCATTGCCGCTGCTGCTGTTCCTCCCTCTGGCAGCCTCCTCAATGGCAAAGGACTCTCTCCTTCCGGTGCATCGCCCGTTGTAGTTTCTTCCACTGCTGCCCAGGCACACCACTCATTCTTGAACTCCTTGGCCACCGGGTCACAGTTCCCTCTCGGCCCCATGGTGACGAACCCCTCAGTACTCCAGTCCTTATTTAACTCGATGCCGGCCACCGGCCTGGTCCACGTCTCGTCGGCTGCCACCCGCCTGACCAACTCCCACCCGATGGCGGGCTTCTCTCCCGGAGTGACGGGCGGAACAGTCGGAGGTAGGCAAGGGGCGAGGGTTCCCTCTCTCGCCTTTCTGAAATATCTTCCATCATCATCACTGTCATTATCATTATTATTATATTTATTTATATCCCGCTTTCCTTTTCTAAAGGAGACCCAAAGTGGGATACAAATGATGATGATGATGATGATGATGATGATGATGATGATGATGATAATTTTAAAAGCAGGGATGGACATCTCCATGGAGTATATGTTATTGTCCTCACTTCCAGACTGAAAAGGTTTGTTTTTCTGTGTAATCCCTCTCAAAATGGTGGCAGGAAGTAACATTTCGTACTACTGACCCGAGGAAATGGGGCCATATTCCGCTGCCATTTTTAGATATTCTGCGGAATCCAAACAGGTATTGCAAGTTTGGAACATGGTCCCAGGAGAAGGCTTTCTGCACAGTTTCAGACAAAAGTGGCCTCAAAATTCCCAACATTCCCCATCAACTCACCCAGCTGAGGGTCTCCCAAAGTTGTAGGGCTCCCCATTGGATGGATGTGTGTGTGAAGCAATGGAAGAGGGGGCTGTGTGTGTCTTATTGGTGGGTCTGTTGAGAGTCCAGCTGCTGGGACCCATCGGAGGAAGGTAAGTGCCTCTCCTTTCCTCCTGGGCCGCCTCCCATCATTGCCTCCCCATTTGCCTGCTGCCATTACAGTTTGGTTTTGGTTTGCTTGCTTTTGCCTTTTAGTCGATTCATTTTATTATTATTTTCCTCGATTAGCTTCTTTCTCTTGCGTGCTGTACAGTGTCCATCTGCTGAGGTTTTGTTTTCTTTTGTTCTGTTTTCTCTTTCTCTCTCCTGTTTGCAGGTATTTTTAACCATGTGGTGCCTCCCGCCTCCTCCTCCTCCTCTTCCTCTCTTTCCCCTTCTTCCTTCGCCCCTTCCGTTTCCGCTCTCCACTTGGGCAAGAGCGCTGTCTCCGCTTGCGCCGTGCTCGGCTTGAACCCTTTGCCATTCCACCCGCCCCCCAACGAGGCCCTACGTGCACCCCCTCCTCCCACTGTCTCCCTCCCACCTCCCCCTCCCCTCCTGGCTCCGCACCCAGAATCCCTCCTCTTCCCCAGTCTCTCCGCCCTCCCGCCATCCTCCTCTTCTTCCTCCTCTGCTGCTAACTCCACTTTGTCTGTTAAACTAGCTTCACTCCAGCACAAAACCTCCCACCCTTCCTTCACCGTCCACCACCCGCCTCTGCCTCGCTTGGCCCCGGCTGCGGCCRCGCAGACTGCCCCGGCCGCGATGTGGGTCGCCCTGGGCACGCAGCCGCCTTARGCTTCTCACCTGCCGGGGGTTAAGCCACGATAAGGCTGGCCCCCCTCCTGGACCCCCGAGCCATCGGTGCTCCGCAAGGTAAGGCTAGTCTGAAGTGAGTGAATGACCGAGCACATGAGTGTACGAATCATAGAATCCTGGAATTGGAAGAGTACCACAAGGGTCGTTGTCCTGTCCAACTCCCTCCTGCCAGGCAGGAAGACACAATCCAACCCCTCCCAACAGATGGCCATCCAATCTCATAGGCATTAGAAGACTCATGGAGCAGTAGGGCTAGAGAAGCATAGAATCCTCGACTTGGAAGGAACCCCAACGACTGTCCAGTATGACCCCTTTCTGTCAGGCAAGGAGACACAATCCAAGCCTTCCTGGCAAATGTTCATCCAACCTCATAGGCATTAGAAAACTCATGAAGAAATAGGGCTAGAGAATCATGGAATCCTCGACTAGGAAGGGACCTCAAGGACTGTCCCGTAAGACCCCCTTCTGCCAGGCAGGGAGGCACAATGTAAACCCTCCTGACAGATGGCCACCCAACCTCTGTTTAAATAAGTTTGGGATATCTACTCTGAACACTTCACATCATAGAATCCTAGAGTTGGAAGGGAGCCCAATAGCCCTCCAGTGCAACCCTCTTCTTCCAGACATGAAGACACAATCTAAACCATAGCAACTGATGGCCATTCATATCTGTTTAAAATTTTTGGGATTAATGGTCTGAACATTTTACATCATGGAATCCTATAGTTGGGAGGGACCCCAATCACTCTCCAATCAATCCCCTTCACCCAGGCAGGAGGACACAATCCAAGCCCTCCCAACAGATGGCCATTCAGTTTCTGCTTTAAAAACTCCAGGGAAGGAGAGTGTATCACAAATTCTCAGTGGCCATTGAGCTGCGGCGGAGGACCTATACATCCCAAGTAGGAACATATTGGATCAAATCTAAAGATAATTTCATTCTTAGAAGTGAAACATGGCTGACTCTAGCTTAAATGACTTTTTTGTTTCTGGTTTTTAAAAAACTAGCTTGGGTCCCTGGTGTTGCCTAGATTATTTGAAAAAGCTCATTTTTTATTGTACAAAATTTATAAGGTTGTGGGTGAACTACAACTCACATCGTGCCAGGTTAACCCGAAAAACTCCATCATCTGTGGGGTTCGGTGTGCTCTCTGGCTGTAGGGTAAACTACAACTCCCACTATGGCAAGTCAGTCCCCTCAGACTCCTCTAGTGATCAGATTTCAGTGTATCAGTCCTCTGTGCCAAGTTTGGTCCAGATCCATCGGTGTTTGGGTTCACAGTGCTATCTGGATGTAGGTGAACTACAGCTCCCCCAAAGCAAGGTGAATTTCCCCCAAAGACCTCCAGTATTTTTTAGCTGGTCATGGGGGTTCTGTGTGCCAAATTTGGTCCAATTCCATCTTTATTGGAGTTCAAAGTTCTCATTGATTGCAGGTGAACTATAAATCCCAGTACCCACAACTCCAAAATATCCAGGCCAATTCCCCTCAAAACCCACCAGTATTCAAATTTGGGCATATTGGTTATGCATGCCAAGTTTGGTGCAGATCCATCATTGTTTGGGTTCATAGTGCACTCTGGATGTAGGTGAATTAGAATTCCTATAAATCCCTCCCAAAGATCTCCAGTATGTTTTGTTGGTCATGGGGATTCTGTGTGCCAAGTGAGTCCCAGGCCCATCGTTGGTGGAGTTCAGAGTGCTCTTTGACTGCAGGTGAACTGTACATCCCAGTACCTACAGCTCCTATAAATCATGGTGAATTCTCTCCAAACCTCTCTAGTATGTTCTGTTGCTGATCAATTCCTCTCCGTTTGCTGTGTACCCTAGAAAAGCATAGGAAAGGGTTAAGGGAGAGGCAGTGGGCGAGGTCATGCAAGGCAGGAGCTTGTCTGTGTAAGTGGACACCCCAGTCACATACACACATATTTTCACATATTTTACATATAAACATACATATTTTCTGGTGGCGCAATGGGCTAAACTTGTGTCAGCAGGACTGAAGACCGACAGGTCAGAGGTTTGAATCCGGGAGGAGCGCAGATGAGCTCCCTCTGTTGGCTCCAGCTCCCCATGCGAGGACATGAGAGAAGCCTCCCACAGGATGGTAAAACATCAAAACATCTGGCATCCCCTGGGTAACTTCCTTGCAGACGGCCAATTCTCTCACACCAGAAGTGACTTGCAGTTTCTCAAGTCACTCCTGACATGGGGAAAAAAGTTTATTATGTTTATACCCTTCTTTATGGTGACACATATGGTATTTTCTGCGCATGCACAGCATTTCGAAACCTAGAACTCTAGGAATGAAACATTTTGGTGGAGACCCCGACAACACTCCACATGTATAGATAATGGTATTCTTTCTCATTTTCCATTCCAGGTAACTAAGACTTCTACCTCAACCCAACGTTGACCTATGCAAGGACGACCGGGACCAACTTCTCTCAGCTTCCATCGAAGGTGCTGTTTGCTTAGGCAGCTATAAAAGCGTTCCTTCCTTCTTTCTTTCATTCTTCCTTTGTGTGTTTCTTTTACTACTGGACAGAAACAATCATAAAAAAAACAAGAGAGAGAAAAAAATTATACTGTGAATCTTAAGTTAAATATATACAGATGGATATATATATATATTCAAAGTGCAGAATGCTTAGGATCCGCTCCGGTTTGTACTGTCGATAGATTTAGATATTTATATATATATATATTTTTAAAAGGTGTCAAACACACAACAGATGCGGCTTTATTTTTGAGGAATAGCTGGGAGGGAAGTCAGTCCGAAGGAAGGTGATAAGCATGCCGTTGATAGCTCCTTTTTATTATTATTTTTGGGTGAAAATAAAGGACTGGCACACCAGCAGAGACATCACAAAAAAGAGAGGTTGTCTTGTGGTGCTATCGACTTCCAGCAGGAACTGTGCCTGTCCAGTCTCAAACCGTGGTGCTTTTTCTTGCTTTTTAATGGCAAAAAAATAGGCCGAAGTTTCTTTATGTATTTATTCCTGAACGGCGTACTTCGACTGGCCAGGTTTCTGGAGCAAAAATGATCGTTTTTCCTCTTCCTCGTTCTGTTTTGGAAACTGGTCCAGACGCCAATGTAATTCCTATTACAAAGGGGATAATAAATGCATCTATATCCTCTTCCTTCTGGTTCAGTAGAGAGAATTCATTCATGGTGCTTGTTCGTAACCCAACTGTTTTCTGCTCAAAATATTTGGGCACATAAGGTGCGTCTTCAAAGGGGTGCCTCTGTCTTATTAAAGCCAAAAGGCGGAGTTGAAACAATCACCACTTTGGACTTCGGTGCCCATTGTCCCCCCGAAATACCCTTTGGTCTTCCAGGTGGTTCAGATTTCATCAGCAACGGTGGGTGCAAAACATCACAAGTGAGGGAACTCCGTGAACTCAGTTTCATGTTATTCTTTTATGGAAATGACCCCAAAGTTGCTTATAAACAAAGCCATTTGGACTCTGCCCAGTGAGGCATTGAGAGAGAGTCAAAACACTTATAAGAAAAGTCCAGTTTGGTGTCTTCCTCGTATTCTAGAGCTTCCATCGAGGCCCTGCTGGTTGGGGATGCTGGGTGTTGCACTCCGTGGCGTTTTGGTTCCCTTTCCAAGCAAACCTTTGGGACTTCGGCTCCCAAAAGCCCCGGCCAACTTGGCTGAAGATTGTGGCTTTCAGAATCGACGAAATGTCGGAATTAACATACTGCTGGCTTGGAAATTATTATTTTGTTGTTCAGCATAGGGATTCTTCGCTCCAACTGTGTTGCTGTGGGTTTAGTCTTCTCTTGAAAGAACACGCACAGGGGCTGAAGATACCATACATCTTGATTGTTCGGAATATAAGAGTCTAGCACTACTGCCCATCAATATAGGGCCTTAGCTACAATGTCATCAATCACTCAAAAGCCCTGGCACCTGGAGCCTGCCCTTTCCCACATACCAGAGCCCACCTTTTCCCACCTCAGGGCAATTGACTTTTATGGTCGGTTCATATGTCCTTGCAGCATTGTGTCCTCCCTTTGGGCCAAGGGCCATGTGCTCTATGTCAGGGCTGATAGTTGCATGGCATGAATGATCATGACATCCAGCCATTTGAGAAACCAAGTGATTGAGTCATTTATAATAGAGGCAGATTTCAGTTTCAACTTCCTAGAAAACTGGTGGTGTTTTATTTAATTTTGACTGCTCCTTTTGAATACTTGATTGCTGCGGAAACCGTTTGGCTCCTGCAACTTTTTGTCCGCTTGCCGGTTCTTTGCTTTTTTTTTTTTTTTGTATGGTTTTGCTCTCCACCATCTTTGTATCGCACTTAATATACTTTTTAAAAAAAAGTAAATTGTGACCTGTGATCAGTGTACAGAATTAGTGTTTTTTTAAAGGCAGTGGTATTTTGTAGGTTTTTTAAGTACATACACACAGATATTATAAATGGTGTGCTAACGCTTTTGGGATTCAATCATCAAACCAGGAAGCTTGGCTTTATTTATTCAAACAGCAGAAAGGGGGAGGAATTGAACACTTTCCTGCACTTGATCCTCGATCGGCTGCGATTATAGTCGATGCAATAATCTGTGTTATTTTCACCATCTTAACGGTGTTCCTGTGTTGTACGATGCAACCATCACAAAAGGGGTCACATCACAAACATAAGAAATAAACAGCATTCAGTCTCCGAAGTTGCCTTCTCCGATTGAATCTCAGTGATCACAAATTAGGGAAAGGCCAGACAAATGGGATTTGTGTGAGGGGTTCTTTGCTCCAGCTGTGTTGCTATGGCTTTAGTCTTCTCTGGAAAGAATATGTCAAGATGCAAAGCAGCTAATGATACCATACCTCTTGATTTGGAATACAAGAGTCTAGCACTACTGCCCATCTATATAGGGCCTTAGATACAATGTCATCAATCACCCAATAGCCCTGGTGCCTGGAGCCTGCCCTTTCCCACATACCAGAGCCCACCTTCTCCCACCTCAGGGCAATTGACTTTTATGTCCATATGTCCTTGCAGCATCCTGTCTCCCTTTTGCCCAAGAGCCATGTGCTCTATGTCGGGGGTGATAGTTGCATGGCATCAGTGAGTGATCTTGACAGTTTGTCTCGTCTTTCCCTTTTAGTGCAGCTGAGAAACGATCCAAGAAGGAATATTTGAATTACCAAAAGCTTATTGCATCCTATTCAAATGGGTAGGATTTTCTGGGCAGCAAAAGATAGGTGCAACCTGACCCCTCTCTCGGCTTTTAAAGAAAAAGGATCTTAAAAATAAAGTTGGTGCTATGTACAAAATACTGGTTTTACAACCCAGCCTCCTGCTTAACGGCTGCTCAGACCGGGTGCTAAACTATACAGGCGGGGATACGTCTCATCTGTGTTTTTAAGGCTCTTCTTTTGGATTGTACCACGTTTGTTGACTTTTTCAGACAGGGTTTGGCCCCAAAGACTTAACGCTCACCCTCTTCTTTTCTGTGCAGAATATGGTGCTATGGGTTGTGTGTTTGTCTCTGTATTCGCCTGTCCAGTGTGGGATCTTGCCTTATCCGTGGCTGTTTTTGGGCTTGAGTTGCTTCCACCTTGCTGCAGATCATCTCCTGTTTCTTGCCGTTTATCAAGAAGTGAAACAAACAAACCAAGGCCTGGGTTGCTGTGAATTTTCCAGGCTGTCTGGCCATGTTCCAGAAGCATTATCTCCAGATGTTTCACCCACATCTATGGCAGGCATCCTCAAAGATTGTGAGGCCTGTCAGAAACTAGGCAAGTGAGGATTATATATCTGTGGAATATCAGCCTGGAAAACTCACAGCAACCCAGTGATTCTGGCCATGAAAGCCTTCGACAACATATTAAACCAAGGCCTGCTTTTCCCAAACCCATCACAATCACAAGGGATTAAAAGCCAGATACAAATAAATCAATAATAGTAATAATAGTAATAATAGTAATAATGGAACAAAAGCTCCTCTTGATGTTCCACATTTCAATCTCGGATAACCCGAGCAAAACTCATTTGCTTCCCTCTCTTTTTATGAAATAGCTATGGTGGTTTGGAAGATTTTGGCCATGGTGTTGAGCGTTCCCTTCTCTTTTGTTTTTGGAAAGTGTTCCCTTTTTGGAGACTGCCGATGGATGGATGAATTATAGGCGGAATATTAGCATCGGCATCACATTGTATTTTCATGGATTTAATTTCCAAGCATAGGTAACAAATATCTCAAACGGGGAGCGAGGAACTTTCATTGTTTGTTTTCTCCCCTTTTAAATAATGGAAATATATTGGATCCTTCGATACTTGGCTAGGGAAGAGTTTGCAGTGCGGAAAGGAAACCCAGATTATGAAAAATTGCTTGACTTGGGTCTCCTAAGGCAATTAGAAACATTGATCTTAAACCAATGTTGTTTATAAGACTTCAGTAGGTATGATTTTCCATAAAGATCTGTCTACCATTTCCATCCGAGCCTTTCCAATAAAATGGCAAATTATATTTTTTACAAAACAAGTGATGACTGGTTTAGCAACTTGGAAACATTATACCGTGATAGAGATTTTGATTTCTTTTATAAAGTTTTGGGAAAGACGTCTATCGATCTATCTATCTGCTTTCTTGGTGAGAGAAGAGGGGGGCATTCAGTCGGCGATGGAAATGAACAGCTGCTCAGGAATTCATTTGTAAGATAATAAGTATAAATATATATGTAAAAAGAAAGAATTTGTTTGTAAATGGATCAAAGGGAGTACAAAGGATGATGAATTGGGGGGTGTTTTTATTAATTATTATTTGTAGCCCATGGAAATGAGCTTTATTTAAAACCCAACTTCTTCACAGAGGCAGAGGCGCCTTTTGGTTTTTGTCTCGTTTTTTGAAGAAGATTTTGCTCAATCCCTTTTTTTTAATCCGTCAATCTTCCAGGTTGAACTAATGCAAAATCTCACAAGCGTGTGTATATATGTAATGATGATGATGATGATATTAATGATAATAATAATCTTATCAATATATTTTCCTTTTCTGGTCCTTTGCACTGCAAAGTTTTCTTTCCGTTCTAACGTCTCCGCTACGGAATAACCGCCTTCCCTTCCACTTCTCACCTTGGTTTGTAATTTTTAAACAAAAAAAGGCTTTGGAGTTTTGTCTTTATATTAAAAAAAGTATGTATTTTAATACACCATAACCACGGCTCGTGCTTCTTGTTTTTTTCCGAGTTTGGTTTTATTTACCACATTTGTACTCCACCTTCTCACCCTGAAGGGGACTAAGGACAGCCTTACAACAGGCAGCAATTTGATGCCATACACATAAAGGTAAAGTAAAGGTAAAGGTTTCCCCTGACATTAAATCTAGGTGTGTCCGACTCAGGGGGTGCTCATCTCCATTTCTAAGCCGAAGAGCCAGCGTTATCTATAGACATCTCCACGGTCATGTGGCTGGCATGACTGCATGGAGTGCCATTACCTTCCTGGAGAAGCGGTACCTATTTATCTACTCACATTTGCATGTTTTCAAACTACTAGGTTGGCAGAAGCTGGGCCTAACAGCAAGAGCTCAACCCGCTACCCAGATTCGAACCGGCCTTTTGGTTAGCAAGTTCAGCAGCTCAGCAGTTTAACCCGCTGTGCCACCAGGGGGCCCTACCATACACATATACAGTAGTCTTGCTTATCCGACATAAACAAGCTGGCAGAACGTCAGATAAACAAAAATGTCAGATAATATGGATTCTCCTACTGTTATCCATTCAACATGGCGCTAGACACCTAGAATACTGACAACAGGGACTGAAAGGGTTAAGACAAGGCAATGCTTCAAGGCTAGAGCGACCCAGCAGGAAGCAGCCGGATGTGGAAGAGGAGCATGGAAATCACAAAAGGAAAGAGGGAGGACACTTTGAATTCCAGTCCTGCCTCTTTTGCCCCTTTCCTCCCGCCTCCACATCCTCGTCTTGCCCTTTTCAATTATTGGGAATGGAGAAAGAGTTGGGGAGTGCTTCTTTAACTGAAGGGGAATTACTGGAGGAAAAGGGGGGTGTTGGATAAGAGCGTAGGATAAGACGAAATGTCGGATAAGTGAAGGTTGGATAAGTGAGACTCTACTGTACATCCATAAACTGCTGGATTTTAATTGTATTTGTTTATTTTATGGCCATATACATATACATCCGCAAAGTAAACAAATACAATTAAAATTCAGCAGTTGAAACACAAATCATTAAAACATCAATTAAAATCATGCAATCCAAATCATAATCCAGAGCTGTTCCATTTGTCAATCATGTTAATTCGTGGTCACTTATTGCATTTCTCCCATTGCTGGTCAAAGGCTTGGTCCAAAGCCACATCTTAAGTTTTTTCCCCAAAAGGTCAGGAGAGGGGGCTGATCTACTTTTGTTGGGGAGGGAGGCCATGGGGCTACCACTGAGAAGGCCCTGTCTCTCATCCCCAGCACCTGGGAAGGAGGTGAGACAGAGCAGGGCCTCCCCAGAAGATCTTAATCTCCTAGATGGTTCATAGAGGAAGAAACATTCAGACAGGTAAGCTGAGCCAGAACCGTAGGGCTTTATAGGCTAAAGCCAGCACTTTGAATTGTGCTCGGTAGCAGGCTGGCAGCCAGTGGAGCTGACGTAACAGGGTTTGCATGTTCCCTGTACGCCGCTCCAGTGAGAAACCTGACTACCGCCCACTTGCAGCTTCCAAACAGTCTTCAAAGCTAACCCTACATAAAGCGTGTTGCAGTAGTCTATTCAAGGTGTAACAAGAGCGTGGACTACCGCGGCCATGTCTGACTTCCCAAGATACGGACGCAACTGGCACATAAATTTTAATTGTGCAAAAGCTTCCTTGGCCACTGCTGAAACCTGGGCTTCCAGCCTCAGCGAAGAATCCAAGAGAATTCCCAAGCTGCGAATCTCAGTCTTCAGGGGGAGTGTAACCCCATCCAGCACAGGCTGTGACACCCTATTCGGCCTTTCGACTGAACAGGAGTACCTCTCTCTTGTTTGGATTCAATTTCTTCACCCTCATCCAGGCTGTTAACAACCACCAAGCACCAGTTCAGGACCTGAACAGCCTCCTAACAAGTGGGCAGGAATAATAAGTTGAATGTCATCTCTGTACAGATGGCAGTGAACTCCAAAACTCCGGATGATCTCTCCCGGCGGTTTTATGTAGATGTCAAACAGCATGGGGGACAATACTGAGCCCTGTGGGACCTCACAGAACAAAGGCTGTGGGGCTGAGCAGGTGTCCCCCAACAACATCTGGGAACGATCCTCCAGGAAGGACTGGAGCCATTACAACACTACCTCCAAGCCCCATTCCCAGGATATTGTGGTCTAGGGTATCGAAGGCTGCTGAGAGGTCCAGGAGAACCAACACACTTGCCCTGTCCACTCCCCTGCATATACCATCCACGAAGACTATAAAGACATAGAAGTGGACTGAGTAATGGATGGAGCAGAATTTGAAGAAGTTACTCTCTTGGTCAAGGGTGTCCAATGGAAAAAAGGAGAAGAGGTGATGAAATAATAGGAATGGAGGAAGAAAATAGGGAGAAGAGCTAGTCCCAAATGGGCAAAGCATCGGAAAGAAGTTTTCATAGGAGGATAGGATTTGGATGGTACCCCCAAAGGTCATCTAGTCCAACCCCTTTCAGCCATACAAACATACACAACTAAAACACTTCTCAGATGTCTATCCAACCCTTGTTTATAGATCTTTGAAGAATCAGAAAGGACCCCAAAGTCCATCTAGTCCAACCTACCTCTGCTGTGCAAGAATATGCAACTAAAGCATCCCCGAAATGCCCGTCCAAACTTTGTTTAAAGTTCTCCAAAGAATTGGAATGAACCCTAAAGGCCATCTAGTCCAACCTGCTTCTGTGCAGAAATATACAGCTAAAACAGAGATCCAACCTTTGTTTAAATATCTCTGAGGAGTCGGAAGGGAACCCAAAGGCCATCTAGTCCAACCTGCTTCTGTTGTGCAGGAATATACAGCTAAAACAGAGATCCAACCTTTGTTTAAAGATCTCCGAGGAGTCGGAAAGGACCCCAAAGTCCATGTAGCCCAACCTGCTTCTTCCAAATCTAGGATCCACATAACAATCACTGTACCAAAGGTTTAAACAAGGCAAGATATTTTATTTAGTGAGGAAAACAATGACATTAGTGTACAAAAAGAATAAGCAGATATTTCACAGAGAAAGCAATCTCTTCATTGCATGTGTAGAATAAAAACCGGCTACTCAGTGGGGAGAAAGGGAAGATGTCCGGGTGTAAATGGGTCCAGGCTGAGCTCACAATCCTCTATGCCGTATTTCTATCCTAAGTATTGAAAATGCCCTGACGTAACATGTTTTCACAGCAGGTTTGGAAATACATTCAAGCTGCCAACAAAGGAAGGAATAGTGATATAAGATCTCCCCATGGACTCGAAAGGGAGACTCGGTTGGTCAACATTTCAGCTGCAAAAACAGACCCCGAGGAGGAGATTTGGGCCATGGAAGATGGGAGTTGGAGTGCCACACGTTCAAGATCACACCTTCCTTGCCCCCAACTGGAAGCGGGCTTCTTTCGAAATGCCATACTGCTCCAAGGGATCCTGGAGGCAAAGAAAATAACAAAGGAGAAAGATTCAAAGATTAAAAAGAGAAAGATTCAAAGTGCCAGTTCAATTTCACCTAAACATCAAGAAGTGGCTTCCTTATGGTTGGAGATGGATGGCTATCTGTTGGGAGGGTTTTGATAGTTCCTTCCTGCCAGACAAAAGGGGTTTTGGACTCTTGGGTGACCTCAGGAGGACCCCTTCCAACTCTAGGATTCTATGTGTTTTTTATTTATTATTATTTCAGATATTTGTACCCCGTCCTTCTCAAGGGTGGCTTTTTTTCTCCTCAAAGGAATGATATCAGTTTGGCTGGGAACACATAACCTTTGCGGTCAGTCACTCACCTTTCCGGTCATCTTCTGGATCTCATTGCGATAGAAAATCAAGCTGCTCCTCATGAACTCATAACTAGAAGAAAGGAAACAAAGGATGGATTTAACAAAGCAGAGAATACAGAGGGTCTAAGACAGGCATAGGCAAGCTTTCTAACTTGGGGACTGCATGGCGGGCAGGCCAGGAGGGAGGGAGGGGTTTTTCCCCAAGCCCCCTCCCTGTCCTTTCCTCCCCTTCCTCTTCTCCTTTGGAGGCAGAAAGTGAAGGAAAGGCAAGAAACGTTTGGTAGGCCTTGGTCAGGATAAGATGGTTGACGGGAGAGAAAAAATGTAACCAGGGTCTAATGGTTACACTTTTTTTGCCTACTCCTGATATAGAATCCTAGATTTGGAAGCAACCCCCAAGGGCCATCCAGTCCAACCCCCTGCCATGCAGGAAGGCACAATCAAAGCACTCCCAATAGACAGCAGAAAAGCCTCCAGAGAAGGAGATTCCACCATGCTCTGAGGCCACCTCTGCCACTCTCCAACAGCTCTTGCTCTCAGGAAGTTCTTCCTAATCTTTTCAGTCGAACCTCTTTCTCTGCCATTTGAACCCATTGCTCCATTGTGCTTTTGTCTCTAGAGCAGCAGAAAGTCAGTCCCCTTCCCCTCCTCCTCAATGGGACAGCATTTGAAATCTTGAAACATGGTTCTCATGTTCCCTCTCAACCACCTCTTTGCCCAGGTAAATATCCCAAGGAGGAAGGAAAAAGGGAAGGAAGGGTGGAAGAGAAGAAAGGGAGGAAGAGAAAGATGGAACGAATGAAGGGTGGAAGGAAGGGAGGGAGAAAAGGAGGAAGGAAGGAAGGTAAAAGGGAAGGAGGAAAGAGAAGGAAGGACGAAAGAGTGAAAGGGAAGGAAAGAGAGAAGGAAGGAAGGACGAAAGGGTAGAAGGAAAGAATGGAAGGGTGGAAGGAAAAGGAGGGAGAGAAGGAAGGAAGGAAAAAGGGAAAGAGGGAGAAAAGAGGGACAGAATGAAGGATGAAAGGGTGGAAGGGAAGGAGAAGTAAAGGGAAGGAAGGGTGAAAGAGTGGAAGGGAAGGATGGCTGGAAGGGTGGAAGGGAATGGAGGGAGGGAAGCAGAAAGAAGAGGGAAGGAGGGAGGGAAGAGGGAAGGAAAGAAAAGTGGAAGGAGGAAGGGAGGGAGAAAAGGGAGGGAATGGAAGAAGGGAGGAAAGAGAAAGAAGGAAAGACAAAACAGAAGGAAGGAAGGAGAAAGAGGGAAAGGGAAGGAAGGATGAAAGGGTGGAAGGAAAGGAGGGAGAAAAGCAGGTGAGGGAGAGAAGAAAGGAAGGATAGGATAGGATGGTAAGAGAGAGGAGGGCCTGAGAAAAGGGCCCAAGGGGCCACATCCAGCGCCTGCACGTGGATTTGCCCATACCTGGTCTAGGAGTTCATAATATTGAGCAATTGAGATATTTGGGAGCCCATAAAACTGAATAATTGAGATATTTGGGAGCCCATAAGACTAATTGAAACAACTGGGACACTGCAATATAGAACGATTGAGATATTTGCCGGACCACAATATTGAGTAACACTATGTAACAAAACGTGAAAAATGTTCAAGGTTTCAAAGTTATATTTCCAGGGAATTGTCCAGAGGCGTGTTTTGCCTTTGAGGCTGAGAGAGTGTGACCCAATCAAAGACCCCCAGTTGGCGATGCATTTCCCCAGGAAATCTCTCCCATTCCTCACCTGGCCCTTCGCAGCACTTCAATCCATTCCTGGCATTGCTCCTCTGTGTCGCACTCGAAGTAGTATTTCCTGGCTGGCTCCTCTAAGAAACCTATAAGGCAACCAAGAGGTCATTCTGCCTCCTTGGAAATCCCTTTCAAACTACAATTTCCTTTGGGGCAGAACTCACTGATGGAAAAGACTGTGTCTTCCTCTTGGTTGATCCGGCAGTGTTCCAGCAGCAAAGCGCCAATAGGCTGCAAAAGATAGATATTATTATTATTATTATTTACTAGTACTACTATACCTGCCTCTCCCAAAGTTGGCTTACACCACACAATTAAAGCAGAACAGATAAAACATAAAGCTATTCAAAAGGCATAGAATTTATTATTATTATTGTGCTGTTGAAGGCTTTCATGGCTGGAATCAATGGGTTGCTGCGAGTTTTCCTGGCTGTATGGCCATGTTTCAGAAGCATTCTCTCCTGATGTTTCGCCACATCTGTGGCAGGCATCCTCGGAGATTGTGAGGTTTGTTGGAAACTAGGCAAATGGGGTTTATATATCTCAGAAAACTCACAGCAACCTTATTATTATCATCATCATCATCATCATCCCCACTAATTTTACCTCGGCTTCGTCCGTACGAAAATAAAAGAGGAAGTTGACCACCAGTTTCACCAGGCGCTTCTTCAGGGCTACAAAAAAGAGAGACATCCACATTGAAATATTAAAACAATAATAATATAATTATAATAACTTTATTTTTATATCCCGCTACCATCTCCCTGAAGGGACTCGGGGTGGCTTACGCATGGGACAGAATGTCCACAAGGCACAAAAGCAAAAACAATCTATAAAACTATATACATTAAAAGCATAGTGAAATACAACAACCCAAATAAAACACACATTAAAAACATTAAAAAGCATAAAACATTGCATCGAAGCCCCGTCAGATCAGGTTCAACAAAAACTAATGAGCAAGCTAACTAAAATGGGCATGACCAAGATAAAAAGGGGCTGGGCAAGGAATAGTGCAAATAGCATACATAGGGCCGGTGAAGTGGATAGATGTAGAACTGTCTAGCAGCCTAGGGGCTGGGCCTATATCACTAGGGACTAGTCATTCTCGAATGCTCGCTGGAACATCCAGGCTTTCAGATCCCTACAAAAAGGGGACAGTCTGGGGGCTTGCCTAATCTCCCTGGGGAGGGTGTTCCAAAGTCAGGGGGCCACAACCAAGAAGGCCCTCTCCCTCATCTCTACCAGCCGTGCTTGTGACAGTGGTAGAAGTGAGAGGAAGGCCTGTCCAGCAGATCTTAGAGATCATACCAGTTCTTAGGGGGGATGCGGATAGGAAAGACACACACTGCTTAAGGCTTTGTAGGTCATAACCTGCATTTGAATTGCAACCAGAAACCTATCAACCGCCAGTGGAGCTGCTTTAATAGGGGCACCGTGTGCTCCCTATAATTAGCTCCAGTTAGAAGCCTGGCTGTCGACCTTTATACCAGCTGCAGTTTCCGAGCAACTGGTACAGCCCTACGTAGTGTGCATTGAACCAAACTTGGCACACAGAACTCCCATGACCAACAGAAAATACTGGAAGGGTTTGGTGGGCATTGACCTTGAGTTTGGGAGTTGTAGTTCGCCTACCTCCAGAGAGCATTGTGGACTCAAACAATGATGGATCTGGACCAAACTTGGCACAAGCACTCAATGCGCCCAAATATGAACACAGATGGAGTTTGGGGGAAATAGACCTTGACATTTGGGAGTTGTAGTCACTGGGATTCACAGTTCACCTACAATCAGAGCATTCTGAACCCCACGAATGACAGAATCGGGGCAAACTTCCCACACAGAACCCCCATGACCAACACAAAATACTTAAGGCCATCAATCCAACTCCCTTCATCAGGGCAAGAAAACGTAATCAAAGTCCTCCTGACAAAGAGCCATCCAGCCATAGATATAGATAGATATGATTCACACACAGAGAGATAATAAATAATAATAATAAACTTTATTTGTACCCCGCTACCATCTCCTCAAGGGACTCGGTGCGGCTTACATGAGGCCAAGCCCACAGATATACTATCATAGATTTGAAAGGGACCCTTCAAGAAGGACAATGATATGTTGCATGTTCCAGGGTGGGCAAACCAGCCACTCTCCACATCAACACTGACAAAGAAACAGCAAGAAATACTGTTTATCCACAAGCATCAAGAAATTGCATACATTAGAAACCAACACTTTCTCATTACTTTATTTTCCAGATCAACAGACTGGGCCACAGCGACACGTGGCAGGGGACGGCTAGTTAATAATATATATTATTGGCAATAATAAAAATGTAAATAAAAATACTCAAATAACATAAACACAGACCATTCAATGCTGCCTAGGCAAATATTCCCAATCCTACATGAAATCCGTAATATTTCTGAGCATTTAAAAGCCACTCAAGTTTCTAGTCCAGAATAGGAAAGGGAAAAGCCTCCCAAAAGGTAGTACTACTTGAGAGGCGTGGCCTGCGGCGTGACGTCACGCGACACCGCCCTCGCGACTCGAATGGGCTATTTCCCCGAGGGGCGTGGTTTGGAACGTGACGTCACGAGGCTCGTCCCTCCCCGTGCGTCGTGACGCCGCCGCTTGGTCTCTGTTCCCCTCCCCCCTCCTTATTCTCTCTCCTCACTCACGGCTTCCCTTCTTGGGCGCCCGCATGAGCACCTCGGCGGCTTTCTCCGCCGGCTGCCGCGAGAGCGAGAGCAACTCCCGCTCGTTGAACCGCATGGCCGACGCCCCCCTCTCGCGGTAATAGGCGCTGCAATAGTCCTACTTCCGCTCCCGGCCTCTTCTCGACATCACTTCCGGCGCGCGAGCCTGAAACGTTCTGGCCGGAAGTGGATCCTTGAGCGGCGCGTTTGGCTTTTTCCCGTGCTCTTTCTCCCTCCCAGAGAGGAGAGGAGATTGAAGCGGGGCCGAAGCGGGGTAAGCAATGGCGTCCTGAGGGCCTAGGGAAGGCCTCAAACCTTTGGCTTCAACCAATGTTGTTCTATATCTTTGCCTGGTTTAATTGCATGTATTGGCCACTTGAGGGTTTATGCCAGGCCTGGGCAAACTTGGGCCCTCCTCCCGGGTGTTTTGGACTTCAACACCCATAATTCCTAACAGCCTCAGGCCTTTTCCTTTCCCCCCTCAGCCGCCTAATTGTAGTGCTCGCCAAATCAGGTCATGGGAAACCCGATCAAATGCTTTTTCGAGATCAAGGAATACAAAGTTCAGTGGTTTCGTCTTTTATTTATTTATTTATTTACTGTATTTGTATACCGCCTTTCTCAGCCAATTCGCGACTCAAGGTGGTTTCCAACAAATCAGTACATTATTATTATTTTATTATTAACTTTATTTATTTATTTATTTATTTATTTTGCTTCTATACCGCTGTATCTCAAGCCCGAAGGCGACTCACAGCGGTTCACAAACAGTAAAAACAGTAGAAACAGCAGTGGTTCCATACAACATATAACAATTGACTTAACACATTATCCATAAATTACCAATAAGCAATTACAATGCACAATTATTATGAAAAACAACTGTACCCAATCTTCTCATCATCCAAGCGTAGTCCAGGTTCGTCGTCCATTGTTCCATTCCTATGTTCCATTACCAGATTGCACTAAATTACTCAAACGCCTGCACAAACATCCAGGTCTTCACCTTTTTGCGGAATACCATTAGAGATGGTGCTAGTCTAATGTCCGTAGGAAGGGCGTTCCACAGCCGAGGAGCCACCACCGAGAAGGCCCTATCTCTCGTCCCCGCCAGCCGAGCTTAAGAAGCAGGCGGGATCGAGAGCAGGGTCTCCCCGGAAGATCTCAAACTCCTGGGTTCATAGGCAGAGATGCGGTCAGATAGGTAGCTTTGTACATATTTGTACTCCCGAAGGACTCAATGCGGCTTACAAAGGCCAAGGCCTCAAAACACAACATAACAATACAAAACCTAAGCAAATTAAAAACAATTAAAGCAATATTAACAACAAGCAATAAACAATACACCAAGACACAATCAAACTGGACCGAGCCAAAGTAATGGGTACAGAATTAAAAGTGCTGGTGTGACAGGTGATATGTAAGGATTATACCAGGGGTCCTCAAACTTTTTAAACAGAGGGCCTGGTCACAGTCCCTTAAACTGTTGGAGGGCCGGATTATAATTTGAAAAAATGAATGAATTCCTATGCACGCTGCACATATCTTATTTGTAGTGCAAAAACCACTTAAAACAATACAATAATTAAAATGAAGAACAATTCTAACAAATATAAACTTATTAGTATTTCAATGGGAAGTGTGGGCCTGCTTTTGGCTAATGAGATAGGATTGTTGTTGTGTGCTTTCAAGTGGTTTCAGACTTAGGTTGACCCTGAGCAAGGGCCGGGTAAATGACCTTGGAGGGCCGCATCTGGCCCCCGGGCCTTAGTTTGAGGACCCCTGGATTATAGGGTAAGTGCAGTGTGCAGTATGCGGCAATCTTAATTCTAATAAAGTGCTTCTGGGACTTGTTATTGGAGTTTTCCTAATCTGGGAAGGCACATCGGAACAGCCAGGTCTTCAAGTTCTTCCTAAAGACTGCCAATGTAGGGGCCTGTCTAAGATCTTTGGGGAGGGTGTTCCAGAGTCGGGGGGCTACCACAGAAAAGGCCCTGTCTCGCGTCCCCACCAAACGCGCCTGCGACTCAGGCGGAATCACAAGCAGGGCCTCTCCGGATGAACGAAGTGAGCGCGTGGATTCATAAACGGAGATGCGGTCACACAGGTAGGATGGTCCCAAACCGTTCAGGACTTTGTAGGTAAGCACCTGCACCTTAAATTGGGCTCGGAAAATACACAGCAGCCAGTGGAGCTCCTTGAACAGAAGGGTTGACCTCTTTCTGTAAGGAGCACCAGTTAACATCCTGGCCACTGCCCGTTGGACCAGTTGGAATTTCCGAGCCGTTTTCAAGGGCAGCCCCACATAGAGTGCATTACAGTAGTCCAATCTAGAGGTGACCAAGGCATGGACCACCCTGGCCAGATCAGCCTTTGCGAGGTACGATCGCAGTTGGCGCATGAGTCTCAATTGTGCAAAAGCCCTCCCGGACACCGCCAACGCCTGAGCCTCAAGCGTAAGCGATGAATCCAAGAGGACTCCCAAACATATAAAAACATAATACAGATTAAAACATGAAAGAATATAAAACACCACAAAAGCAATAAAAACAACATCATTAGCGTCTCATTATTATCGAGCCTTTTCCAGTTCCATTGTCAAATCGTTCAATTTCCTGTATTAGCTACTCTGCATTTATAAATGCTTGCTCGAACAGCCATGTTTTAACTTGCCTCCGAAACGTTAAGAGGGAGGGAGCAGATCTAATCTCCCTAGGGAGTGTGTTCCATAGCCGAGGGGCCACCACTAAGAAGGCCCTGTCTCTCGTCCCCACCAAACGTACTTGAGACGAAGGTGGGACCGAGAGCAGGGCCTCCCCACACGATCTTAAAGTCTTTGATGGTTTGTAAGGGGAGACATGTTCGGACAGGTAAGTTGGGCCAGAACCGTTAAGGTCTTTATAGGCCAAAGCCAGCACTTTGAATTGGGCCCGGTAGCAAACTGGCAGCCAGTGGAGCTGGCGCAACAAGGGGGTTGTATGCTCCCTGAGCGCCGTTCCTGTTAACAACCTGGCTGCCGTTCGTTGGACTAGTTGAAGCTTCCGGACCGTCTTCAAAGGCAACCCCATGTAGAGAACGTTGCAGTAGTCTATACGGGATGTAACCAGAGCGTGGACTACCGTGGCCAAGTCAGATTTCCCAAGGTACGGGCGCAGCTGGCGCACAAGTTTTAACTGTGCAAATGCTCCCCTGGTCACCGCTGAAACCTGAGGTTCCAGGCTCAGCGATGAGTCCAGGATCACACCCAAGCTGCGAACCTGCGTCTTCAGGGGGAGTGTAACCCCATCCAACACAGGCTGTAACCCTATGCCCTGTTCGGCCTTGCGACTGACCAGGAGGACCTCTGTCTTGTCTGAATTCAATTTCTTTTCCCAATGATTTTCCATGAGTAACCAGACAGCATATATTGCATCTATTGTGCCACACCCCCTGACAAAGCCACACTGATTTGGTGTAATGGCTGTGTGTATATATATGTGTGTCTGAATATATAATAGTAAATAATAATAAACTTGGCCATGGTGGTCCATGCTCTGGTTACATCCCGAATAGACGTCTGCAACGCTCTCTACATGGAGCTGCCTTTGAAAGTTCTCGGAAGCTTCAATTACTCCAATGGTCGGCAGCCAGGTTGTTAACCAGAATACAGGGAGCGTACTACTCCTTTGTTGCGCCAGCTCCACTGGCTACCGATCGGCTTCCGAGCACAATTCAAAGTGCTGGTTTTAACCTTTAAAGCCCTGAATGGTTCTGGCCCAGATTACCTTTTCGAATGTATCTCCTGCTATGAACCATCACAAAGCTTAAGATCATCAGGAGAAGCCCTGCTCTCGATCCCACCACTTTCGCAAACGTAGTTGGTGGGAACGAGCGACAGGGCCTTCTCGGCAGTGGCCCCCTGTCTGTGGAATTCCCTTCCTAAGGACATCAGGTAGGCCACCTCCCTTCTGTCCTTTAGAAGACAACTGAATACTTGGCTTTAGGACCAGGTGTTCGACTAGAGGACAGCGACAATTGGAAAGGAAATTTTGGACATTTGCGATGTTGGATTTACCCGACTTGATCTTTGTTTTAAATGGCATGTTAATTTATTGTTGAATGAATTTATTAATGAATTTGTATAATGTTTTAAAATGATTTTTATTGTTTTAATTGTAATTCTTGTGATGTATGTGTTGATAGCATCATATGATGCTTATATGAGGCCGCCCTGAGTCCCCCTTTGTGGGGAGAAGGGTGGGGTTGAAATGTATGAAATAAATAAACACATAAATAAATAACTATATTTATTATCTGGCGGCTCAAGGTGGGATGCAGCAGTCGGACACATATGAACATAAAATATGTATGTAATAAATTACATAGATAAAAACACAAAAACTTGCATGCAACACATATGTACAAATACATATGCTTGTACACACATATGTATATATATATATACACACACACAGACATGGAATGTGTTGCCTCATAGTGTGGTAGCGTCTTTTTCTTTGGGGGTTTTAAACTTACTTCTCTGTGAACTTGTTTTATGAGGTTGGATGGCCATCTGTCAGGAAGGATCGGGTGGTATCTTCCTGCTTGGCCAAAGGACTGGATGTCCTGATGCCTCTTATTATATGCACAAATAAATACACACACTGGCCACATGACCTTGGAGGTGTCTACGGACAACGCTGGCTCTTTGGCTTCATGTGTGTGTGTTTATGTGTGTGTGTGTATATTTGTGTGTGTGTATGTATATATATGTGTGTGTGTGTGTATATATATATATGAGTATGTGTATGTGTATATTTTATATTCTTACACACATAAATATACAGATATGCATATATATACATACATACATACATACATACACGTAGATGACAGTCAACTATACTACTCCTTTCTACCAAATTCCAAGGAAGCCTCCCAGACTAAACCAGTGCCTGGCAGCTGTGATGGATTGGATGAGGGTTAACAAGCTTAATCCAGACAAGACAGGTCCTCCTGGTCAGTCGCAGGGCTGATCAGGGTATCTGGTGGCAACCTGTGCTCGACAGTGTTACACTCTCCTTGAGGACACAGGTCCGCAGTCTGGGGGTCCTCCTGGATTCAGCACTGACACTTGATGCTTAGGTGTCAGCAATGGCTGGTGGAGCCTTTGCACAGTTAAAGCTTGTGCGCCAGCTGTG